CTTCGAGGGAGGCCGCCCCCTACCTTTAGCGGGTGGCACGAGGGTGGTGTTGATATAGTTCTCATGGTCACTGACGGCATATGAGTGCTCGCACGGACCCCATCGAGCAGCAGTCGCACAGAAAAAGCACAGGCACAGCATGTGTTTATTGCGTGCTGCAGGCTGGGGCAAGCAGACCTGGTGCTGTGTCCAGTACCGGGCAACGTAGGGGCCTGCGACGACGAGGCGCCAGTCATCAACGGTTTTCGCACATTGCCGCCGTCTGTGATTTGGTTGGCCACCTTGTCATACACACCTAAGCTGGTGAGCGCATCACGCACAGGGGACGGGTCAGAGGCTTCTACAATGTTGCACGGCGCCCCTGGGCAGAGGTAGCGGCAGCGGCTTCCGCTCTTTGTACAGCTTTTGTGGCTTACAATTGTTCCGAAAATAATCAACTTTCAACGTAGAAGACGGGACAAGCATCCAAACATTGCCTGCAGCATCAGCGTGGCGATCGTGCTTCGACAAAGCTAGCAAGCTCTTAGCACAACTTCTCCCTTGCTTGGCATCACTGTCTCGTCTCGGTACACGCACTGATCCAGGAATTGCCCAGCTCCGGGCCAATCCTGGAACAGTTGCCCTTGCGATTCATACGCCGTAATTTGCGGAGAAGTGGCTGCAGGACCGAGGATTCTAGAACCTGCGCAACGGTGAACGGATCTTTGGCAGATACGCCTGTAAACGCAGCTTTCAGGGTATGCTCATGCCATGACTCCTGAGGGGCAGAACCTGCATTAGTGCCAGGCATGATCCGATCAGGCCATGACCTCGGGGAGCATCCCAAACAGGTTCGGAGGAGGCACTAGTCTTGCCCAAAACGAAGTATTGTTTCTGCAACGGTTTTGCAGCCGACGTTTGGCCTTGTGCGTCAAGGTGCGCAAATATGCAGATCCATATTTCGTGAAAGAGCATGGCTGTGAAAGGCTTGGAGATGCGGCACCACTGTAGGAGCCAAGGCAGGAGCTCTTCGGATTTGTCTGGTGCCAGATGCTTCATCAACAGGCCATGCAAGCCACTGGGGCCTTCGGAGGTCGCTCCTGTAACATGTGCCCAATCAGAGAGGCCTGCACAGTCTGGCGCAATTGTCTGCCGGGCTTTCTCTATGCCGCGATGCATGTCGCCGTGCCACTGTTGTCAATAGCCAGCCCGCAGTGCCTCGCCACACAGAGCATGGTCTGAACAAGATGCAAATATGCGGTGTTCTCTTCGCTGTGGGCAAGAGCACATCACAGTGGAAGGAAGGAGCTACGAAAAGCAAAGGCATTTCCGTCATCACTTGCAGACCAGGTCTGCCATCTGTTGACAGTTTTAGATTCCACGGTTGCGGTACCAGGGAGAGCCCCAGGTGCAAGAGTTCCGAGCACAGCAAACGCACGTCTGCCGCGGTCTGCGCATTTATTGCACGGAGCGACGAGTTGGTAGGCATGGCGACCGCCGGCTGACCTTTCAAGTACCTAACCGGGGTAGAGGTATATAGACGCACACACATATGCATTGCTTATTCGTTTGCTTGCTTGGTTCTTTTGTCTCTCTTTGTCGCTCTCCCGCGCCCTTGCCTCCCTCCCTTCCTCCCTCCCTCTCTCTGCTTGTCCCCCTCCCTCTCCCTCTCTACCCCTCCCTCCCTCCCTCCTTCTCCCTCTCTCTCCCTCCCTGCCGCCCTCCCTCCCTCCCTCCCTTCCCTCCCGCCCATTCAAACCAAAGGAACAAGCAAAGAAAGCAACAAAAAGCGGAGCCTGAAGAAATGGCATAACGCAAAAAGCAACAAGCACAGAAAGCAACAAAAAGCGGAGCAGAAAGCAAAAGCAGAAAACAAAAAGCAACTAGCAAAAAACAACAACAGCAGAAAGCAAAAGCAATAAACAAAAAAAACCAAGAAAAACACAAAAATCCTCAGATAATTCCAATTCCTTAGTCTATCGGATCTCCGCGCTCGCGCTGCTTATGCTAGCTCATTCAAAGACGAACATGGCGTGTCTGTGCGGATTCTTTTGTTGGAAACAGCTCCATCGATGCTCGGGCAAGCGCTAAGTATGATTTCGTATTGATGGTTGATTAAAATGCCCGTGAGCGAAAATGACACAAGAATTTGCACATCTGCAACTTCGGGAGTGCGCCTTGTGCCATGACTTGATGCCATCAAAGATGCCCGCAATGACGTTATGCCCACCTGGCGCCTGCCAGGTTTCTGGTCCAGATTCAGGCAGCGACAAATTGTTGAATGCGTATGCCATAGGTTGACATGTGAGTCAGCATGTTGCTCTCCACTCATCTTGGTCTGCATTGGTGGCCACGGTGCCTCATGCCCAACTTTCACCCGGCTTACAGAGACCATCATGGTCGGGAATGGAGGCAGTGAGCAGTCAAGCAACCAAGCTCACAAATTGAACAGGTGCAACGACAAGCTTCAATTTGACACGGCTTAGGGTTTTGAGGCAAGCCACTATCCGTTTGCAGACCTTTCTTCTGAAGGGCAGCTCGCCAAGACCCCCTTCTCCATGCCTGGCCACCCGAGAGCACAACTCCCACTTTGACCGGCACCTGGCAAATCTTTGTTCTTTGTTGCCCTGTAGGAGCCGCAGGATGATGCGGGGTGGGAAGGGTGGATCGAGGCAATCGAAAACGAAACTAGCTCACACGGCTCAGGGTTGGACCTCCCCGTGCTCCTGTGTCGCTCCAGCTTCGAACTCGACAAGCGGGATATCCTCCACAACATTTAGCTGCAAAGCTACGATTGATACCCCGGCTTTCATGCACGACTTGTCGCGCTTGCACATCATCGGGAATATCTACTCCACACGTGAGCTCATGCAGATGTCCAAACGTTGCCACGCAGGCAAGCGACATACTCAGCATGCGGGACAATGTGCACTGAGATCCGGGCATAGGTTTGAGGAAACAATCGTTTGATGACCTTGCTGTCGATGTAAAAACAACAAGCAGGCACAATATGGCACAATGATGCAGTGAGTGCATTCAAACGCACAGTTTAGAGTCTGAGTCTCGTGGTACGGAGAGTAGTTTGCAACATTCCAACACCACGGCCTCGGCGTCCTTTGGAGAAGCTGCCAAAGCCTCTGCATTCAGGAGGCCAGGCTTTACGGGTTCACAGCTTAGACCGAACCTCCTTCTTCACCGCTTTGGGTCTGCCGCTCAAGACATCTGGCAGATAGTCCTGGCGATTGACATTGCATCCTGCTGTAGCACTACGACAGGCCCGGACCAAGCGGAGGAACACTGAATCCAGACGTACAGCGACAGAACAAGACCTTCTGCCAACCGGGTCCTTGCAGTCAGCTTTCAAGCGCTGCTTCTGGAGGGAGCTGTATGCCTACACGTTGCGCATGCATGCAGTGCATTCTCTTAATCCCTCCTTCGAAGCATCAGGCCGCACTTGTTCTGTAGGCTCTTGCCGCTGGGCCTTGCGGGCCCTGTCGTAGGAAACTGGGCTCGTCCTGGGCGCCATCAGTACCTCAGAGGAAGATACAAAGAAGACGAAACGACAAGAAGGAGACATAAGATCAAGTTGTCAACAGCCTCGTAATTTAACATCCTGAGCAGACACCTAGGGCCGGGGCGGCACTGAGGGATCGGCTTCGATGAGGTGCTAATGGAATGCTACAGCCAAAGCTGAGATTCGTTCAACGAGCAACACCGATTTGCAATGCTCTCCCTGGGCAGCTCCCTCGCAACAAAAAAACATCAGAAACTGCAGATTGCAGAAGCAGCTCCTGGTACACCGGAAGATCTAACATGCTGGGCTCCGCCTGCCAGCATGCCGGTCTCTGCAGCTCTGCAGCAAGATGGCAGTCTGTTAGTGCCCCCACACAAAGGTCCTCACGGCTTGAGACCCTTTCTCTCTGACACAAGCAGCTTCTGGTGTGATCAACTTCCGGGCCAACGCCCGGTTGCCAATCCACACGACTTTATCCGCCTTCCTGCAAAGGCTGACGTGGCCCATCGGACGGCGAATCGAACATAGTCGATGCTGGAATGAAACTGACGCGACTCTCGGCATTCAGGAAACATGTGAGGCAACACCCGCTGGTTGCGAAAATCGGATGCGCAAGAGCACTGCATGGGCTGTTTCACAGGACAGTCTTGACACCCTCGATGGTCTTCAAGTAGCCTGAGACTTCATAGCAGCCGTGTGCATTCGATGAGCATTGCAGCTGCCAGCAGCACGCACCCGAGACATGTTCGTGGCATCAAGCCACAGACACAAACACAAGCTGCAACAAATGTCTGCTTAACGGAATCAGCAGGCAGCCAAGCTTCTATGCAGGGCGCAGAAGTCATCTGGAGTCGTGAAGCCTGGCATTCAGCGCGCAGCTCGTGAGCTGCTTGTAACTTGGCAAGATACTGTGACAGCTGGAGGAAAGGTCGAGGAGTTTCGATGCTTCAGTAGCAATGCCAGGCTTTTCAAGCAGATGCTAGCGGTTCTGTGCTGCCGAAAGGCGTACATCGAGCTTGAGTGATTGCCATCGCGTCCTCTCATTCACCTGGGTCAGGAAAAGTTTGCAGCTGACACATTTCACGGCAGGCACGAAGATCGTGATGACTCGGCCAATGCCGAATGCCCCGAAAGAAGCAGCTGGAGGTAGGGGGGCGGACTAGACCTGTGTTTGCACCGGCACGAAGAAATGCCGTGTTTTCTATAACTCAACGAGGCATGACTCGGGGCTCAGCACACACTGCTGCCCATGTGCAACCCTGGATACCGCAATGGACCGAAGATGCCGGATCGAAGTCGCAGGCTGTAGGCGGATGCATTACATCCGCCCAGGTAGGAGACTGTAATACACAAGTGCGGGCAAAACAGCTCCTTCCGAAGTGAGGTTGTCCAGCTCGGAACACTTCGGAAGTCCAGGCACCACAAGGATGCGGAAAGTCGGAGAGAACAAACTGGGCTCCTGCGTGGAATTGCAATATCACCAATGCTGGCTTCTGGGATGCCGCGCGATCACTGACAGCGGATCCCAGCCGAGCACTTTCGGAGTCGCCTCCTGGCCGTGGCTTCGAAGCAGAGCTTTCGACGATGATTTCGGGCTACGACTTTCTTTACATGCGGAAGTCTAGCAATGTCTCTTTGCTTTGGACTAACACCATCACCTGCAAGGATTAGGGTTCGGTTTCAAGTGAACCTTACGTGACATAGCCAAGCGCCAAGCCTCTACGGTCTGACGAAATGCATCGCCGATCGGTCCGACCACCACAATGCCTTGCTTTGTCATCAAGCGGCTTTGAGTTCCATGGCTACGTGCCCTTTTTGGACAACTTCACCGCCGGTTGAAAAATGTTAGTGAAGTGAGCCACTAGCCACAAAGCGAGAAGCCATCCCACTCTGCGTCGTAAGACCAATCGTGATGTGCCTCTGTAGCCTGGCACCTGATCCATGTTTGCCGAGGTGCGCAGTACTTGTGGCCAGGTCTCGTCACTAATCAACCTTTGCTGCAAGGCGACGTGCTGGAAGCCTTAGCATGCCTCTAGCTCCTGTTTGTAATCCGTATCCGATTTGAGACACGAGCCTGCGATAGACGCCCCTGTACTCCTCGAAGTTGTAATTGCGGCCTGGTGCCTCAAGAACTGAGGGTCACCAGGTGAAGAGACAGGAATGGTTTCTGTAGACCACAACCACCGCAGCTTCTGCCGTGCACAACACCCAGCTCCAGACTACCTCGGCGGAAGGGGCGCCGACTTGAACTTGCCTGCCACGTTCACATCACGTTCACAGTGTTAGAATTTGATTGCGAAGCCGGATACTCGTGGCCTGGCATCGGTCATGTGCAAGCCCGTCATGTGGTGGTGCTCCTCAAACGCAATGGCATATACTTGCACACTGCACACATACGTTGCAACATGATCGCGCCAAAGAATCGAATAAAAGAATGCAGCATCCACAGATACTACGAAACTGCGCTTCCATGGGACTTCGATCCCGATGCAATTCAAGCGGCAGGATCCGCGCAACGGGCGAGGTGCCCTCCTGATGCAGGGTCTCCAAGTCCCATACTGAAATCACGGCAGACAGGCCGCTTGATCGAAATCGCTACATGATTGAACCAGCTCACGCAGGGGTGTTTTTGTGTGGATACGTCTAGGTCCCGAAGTGCCACTTCCAGGAACCAAAACTTTGGCTCCACAGCGAGACCACCTAGGGCCTATCTGTTCGAAGTTCGGGCTGTAATTGCCCAAGTGAGACAACGTGGGGAAGCGCAGGGGACAACCAAAACAACCGTGAATACACAAAGCCTGGCTCTCGTGGGTTGCAGCAGATTTGCTGGAGTGCCATGTAGGGGAGCCGGCGACACAAAGTTCGTCATGCAACGGGCAGGTTGTTGACTGCTCAGATGAGCCATTCGCGGGCCTTTCGCTTTCAGAAGCGATTTTCCAGACTTCCTCTTACGGCTTGCACATAGGCTGTTTTGTGTGATGAATGCTCTCCCACGTGATCCAGACATGCCAGAGACCTGTGAAATTCAGAGTGCCTCGAGCTGAATCACGAGGCTGACGAGGATGGCAAAACAAATCCGCTTGCCCAGCCTTAGTTTCGAGCATCGGAGCCCGAAGCTCGCATCCATGAGCTTTGCGAAGCAACAGTGCAGGCCAGGAAGCTATCGCCGCCAGGAGGCCGCAAAGAGAGAGAAGGCCAAGGCCTCAAAAACTCGGGGCAGGTCAGGGGTTTCTTGCTACGTCACTTCGTGTCGCTTTCCGCCCTGTCTGCTCGCCGAAGATCGAGGGTAGCTGCGAGACCGAGAGTGCGCGGAATCGCGTCCGCAGCCTTGGACCAGCCACAAGCGACGCTTGCGCCATATTGGGAATCCCTGCGCTGACAGGCGTCAAAAGCAGTCACTTAGACGACTTCGACTTGTTGTCGGAATTTCTGATCACGGGCTGACCCATCTCGCAGCTTGAACCAAGGAGCGCCAACACTCAGGCATGCTGCCCAGTCGTGAACGCTGCCGCGCGTAGGATGGCGAAAGAGCTTCAACAGGTGCTAGCAAGTAGCAGTTCAGACATATCTTTCCCTCAAGGCTCTGCTTCGAGATGATGGATCATGACACCTAGCTTCACTGGTGCTGCTATGGTATGCAGACAGTGTTGGATTTCGGTTGCTGGCTTGCATGCTCCCTTCAATCTTCTAACAAATCCCATGCTCACAACTATTTTCGTGGTCAATAGTACTGTACCTTGAACTTCAGACCAAACCGAGTTTGAGCCAGGGCGTGACCGTCGTTCTGTACTCTTTGACCCTGAGAAAATGAATCCTCCGAGCATGTGACCACATTGCCCGCGGATAGACTTGCGACACGGCAATGCTTTGCCTCGCTCTTAGCTTCTGGGCCTTGAACGCAATGTCATGTCCGACACGAAATAAGGCGCTGAGCACGTCAAGCCGGCAAGTCTGAGGGCTTTGCAAGGTGTGGCATTGCCAGGCTGCCCTGCCTGGAGCAAAACAGAGCCAGATTTATAAGACGACATACAGAAACACTCTCCCTTCGAAGTGCTTGCTCTAGCCAAAAGAAGAGCCAGATTAACAAAGGATAACAAAGGAACATGTGTTAGAATGCATCCATATGCGCCTTCCGGAGTGCTCCGATTGTGTCTGAGTCGCTGGTACTACGGCTGCATCGTTCTGCTTGGGCAGAGTCCAGGCAGAGAGAGAGCTCGCGTCGCCTCGCGTCGCTCCCGAACCAGCTGCTCATAAAGCTTCCGGTCCTGGCCCGGTCGAGAAGGAGACGCGGAGGTCCCAAGCTACGTGGAGCAGTTCCACAAGTCGACCGCCTTGCCCGACAGTGATCCGCAAGTAAGGTCCAAGGTCTGACTCACCAAGCGCCTGTCAGAGATAAGCATCTCGACACCTGCATGAATGGGACCGTGGAGGCCTCTTGATGTCCTCGTCCAACGGTGAGTCACAGGTGAAGCTGGGCAGGTGGTTTACCTTCAATGAGGAAAAGCAGACCAGAAATGATTGAGCAGCGCATCGCAAGCCTCCTCAACCTCAAGAAGTATCCGGAACGGATATGGCACCGGTGTTGCTGGTATGTTTTGTTTTGTCACCCAGACCGACCTCTATGAGGTAAGGCTTCATCTTTGCATCAAGCATGACGTCGATGCCGAGCAGCTCGAAGCACCTGCAACAACTGGCACGAAAAGCTGCTCCCTTCTTCAGTACAGAATCTGCTATCTCGCCTGCAGCCCATCTGGCCCCCGGTCAAGTCACGAGGAAACGCTCCGTCGTACTCCGTCTGGCGGGTGATGGATTCACGCAGAGCTTGTACAGGTGATGCGCCATTACCAGTACCATCGACCGTATCCTACCACTGGCAGCAATTGCACGGGTGGGCAGCGAAAGGATGTATCTCGATCTCGTGAACGTCGTTCATGCATGAGGGACAACGTGAAATGCGAGCTGGCAGGAAGGAAGAACTGCTGTGGTGGTTGCGCCCAGAAATTTTAGCAACCGATTAGCAGGCCAGAAAGCATGACTTCGGACATCTTATTCTTGATCGACAGAGGCAGCTTTGATGTAGCACAAGGCCTCTGCACAACCCGCTCGGAAGCACAGATGGAAACCAACGTGTGGAAAAACTCGATCGATATTTAACTATGATCATGAGTGCTGCTCTGCCGATCGAGACGCTAACATGGGCGAGGCGAGGAAGAAATGAGGCCAGGTGCAGATGCTGTACGGCCCACAGGCAGCCTCCAGGGTTGGCTTGACCATGAGGACTGTCTTCATGCAAACACCTCACGAGGTGCAGGGCACCAAAGGCTCTGCTTCAAGCCTGGAGCTGTCTTGGCAATTCGTCAGCAGATTCAACACATCATAGAGCATCACAGATCAGCACGGATCATTTCGCAGGGTCGCGTAGACGGTAAAAGCTCGGTAAAAGGTCTAAGTTTGCTGAGAGCAGCGATTGCAGAGCGAAGATTCTTGCCAATGCTCCCAGACTCCCTGCGTACGAACCACCTGACACGCTACGGCGGCTAAGGCAAGCCGGTACTCGTCGTGGCATTGTCGCGCGGATCTTCGCTCATGATGATGACCCTTAACAGGAGTTATTGTGCAGCTCCGAACACACAATCTTTCGCTGTGAGCATGCAGGCTATCTTCTTTGAAGAGCTTGTGCTCACTCTGCTGGAAGAAACCATCAGAACGGTCCGCATTCAGAAGCTCTTGTATCAATGACATTGCAGCTAAATGTGCATCTGGTTATCCTAGCTGGAGCCGTGCAAACCGTTTCTGTCCTCTTGAGCTGTCATGAACACTGCTGCGCAAGCTTCATGCCCGAAACGCTGTTGACTCGGTCAGGTGCTGCCATGCTTTCAAAGATTGTGCGGCATTTCGGGGGTCATTGTGTTGAGGTGGGACCTCTACGAAGCCTGTGCTATACATCCACGCTGTGCGTGGCACTTGGCGCCGAAGAGGTCGGGAGAAGCAGTTTCACCCTCGCACACGGTATTGGGAATAGAAAGTCAACAAATACTAAACTGACAGGTACAAAACCATGCCACGTCGGGTGTCTGCTCGATATTCTTGATCGACTCGCAGACTCAAAGGCTAGCCCAGGTTGCTATCCGGATAGAATCTGTCACGCAGATGGAGTCGCTTGACCGGAAGTCAAACGTGGTGGCTTGCACAACGGACACCGCGAGGACTGGTGGCTAGCTTTGTCGAGCACAGTTGCACAAGCCAACCTGCAAAACCGCCTAATGCAAAGGACTTGGATGTAACCCCTCTGCAGGTGCATGCAGAACTGTACAGTTACGCCAGCATTCATTCTGGGCCTTGGTTCATTGTGGCTTTCTAAACCCGTCCCATGCCGCTTCGCAGCATGTTGGGGTGCCAGCCTGCTAGACAGACAGCCGCTTCCGAATGCAAAAGCCAGATCGACTGAACTTGACTGACGATTGCAGGTGCCTTTCCTTTGAAACCGTCAGGGACCTTTCGACGGCACATCCCTTCGTGCTTATCGGTCTGCTTGCTGCCCCCCCAGAAATCGACTAACTCACTACGCAGCAGCCCTTGTTGGCAGCAGGTTCCTCAGGCCTGCACGGCGACGGCACAAATGCAGTGAATGCAATGCTGTAGTTCCATATGCACAGGTATTAGGTTCGCACAATAGGAATTCATGAAACTGCAGAGAGGGCGCGCGCCTTTCAGGTACATCAAACTGCTGCAGCCACAAGCTCTTTGCTAAGAGCTTCTTTGCGCTTGGTCGCTGCTCCGGGTCCTGCAAAAACAGAGATCAACCACGGCTCGGCATCGTCTTTCCTGTGGTCTCTGCTGGCGGGTCCCGCGTCAACATCTCGAAGACCAGCTCTTTTGCCTGTAAAAAAACTGCATGTTGCTCGTCCAATCCAGTAAGAATCAGGACATCGTTAGCAGATCGCAAACAAGGCTAACACAGCTCGCTGCGTGGTAAAGGCACGCAATACTACCGGGCAGTAAGCATTTCATACGACAAGCTCTGCTTGGCAAGGCAAGCCCTCAAACAGATTTGACCGAATCACTGCTTCGTTGGACCGTTCCAAAAGCAAGGCTGGCTTCGGGAGAATTCCTAACATCGCCTGCCTCTTTGCGGGAGTCGTCCCAATGAGCTTCCTTGGAACGAATCTCGAATCTTCGTGCATGATCGTAGAAAAACGGAAGCAGTGCACTGCTACCTTAAAATTTGTCTGCAAAGAGCTGTCTCTGTCAGTCTTCAGTTAACAGCCGCAATTTACAACGCAGACTTGCTCATGCCTGCAGAACCATCGAGGAAACGCTAAAGCACTGGAAGTGTTTGAGACCCTGGCTGCAGGATCCATGTGGTTGAATCTGATTCTCTCCAAGACCACCTGGCTCAAATTTTAACATAGCTTACCTAAATCAACCCAAACAGCTGGTTGCAAAGAGGAATTGCGGATACGAGAATCTGAACATCAGAACGCCACGCATGATCAATACTCTGCTGATAAATAAATTGGGTGGCAGGAGTGCGCAAAGAAATGGGTGATTGAGCCCACCCTCCCCAAATTACAAACTTAAGCCCATCCCCAAAAAAACGGCCCGAATCGTCTCGGCGAACAGGGTGAGTCCCACTCTCCCACCCCCACCCCGGCAATGGTTGGGATGAAGGAAGCCTTAATGCCTGCAATATCCTGCAAGTGTATTTTGAGCAAGTGCGCCTTTGCTTTGTCACCTTTGCCGTAGGCAAACGGGTGATGACCTCGCTTGAAGACCCATCAGAGCGAGAGGTTAGACGAGAGGCTGCGGCGACTGTGGCCGTGACCAGTGCAGAGCACAAAGGATACCACTCCCACGCTCCACACGTCACAGCGCTCGTCGTATCGAGCGTTGAGAACCTCTAGACTGTAGAGGAATGACAGTGACGTGCCACGTCAGAATCGCTGCTGCACGTTTTGCTGCTGTTTTGGCAACTGCGACTGTCAGTGTGCATGGGACGGCAACCCTTGGAATCTGAAACCGGAAATGCACGGGCCGCCCTCCGCCTACACACCAAGCCTCGGGAGCGACGTAGCAAGGAGTGCCGAGAATGTCCTTGAGCGGTCGACCTTCCGAGCAAAAGCAAAACTGGCTTAGCTTCAGCTCTCGTCAGCCTCTTCAAGATGCAACAGCCGGATTGGTCTTCTGAAGCCCTGTTGGACTGTAGTAGCTGAATAATACCTTTCACCAGCCCAGCCCACAGCCCAGCCCGGCCCAGCCCAGCGCAATGCCCGCTGATGCTCGTGATGCTCTCTCTTAGGGTCGATGGAGGCCCGCGGGCAAAAATCCGATTAGGGAAGCGGGGCTTGAGGGAATCGGATCACCAGGCTTTGCTGTTTGGTAGTACGCGAGATACGCGAGCATAATGAGCATCACGTTACTGCGCAGCAGTGGCATCTGACCTGCGTGGCAAAGACTTTTTCTCTATGTCTCCTACGAGTGTCACAAGCTTTTCGCAGCCCAAGCAGACATCAACCGAGTGGTGCAAAGCGTCACACGTACATCGTTGCCAAAACGTTTGCTGAACATGTCCGGATTAAGGGTACGGTGTTAAGGGTTCGCTCCAGCACCTTCTGATAATCGTGTCACCTGTCACGTAGCAGGTTGGATCATATCACACAGCAGCTGTTCAATCCCCTCTTCGACAAGCAGGTTTCCCAGACATACCGCATCAAATTCCGGCCAGAGTTTTCGGTGAACGGGCCACATGGGTGCATTCTCAAGTTTCCATAGTTTTGGTTGTCATCATCCGGCCATGACTTCCAACTGCACTGTGCAGGCTGTGCAGGCCTTTCTTGAAGGAGCACGCGAGGCCAAAGTCTGCGAGCTTCAGGGTTGTGTGCTCGCCCCTGTGCTGCACCTGTGAACGCTGGGACGAAATAAACGTCAAGTTGACGCGTTGGGCTCCTGGACTTAATCCGAGCAATGCTACTGTCACCTCGTACTACGTTCCGTGCTCACCAGATCAACTTCTGCCAAGTGATCAGTATGGGACCCTAGTGTTGCCAGAAAGTGAATCAAGGCTTGGGCCCTGGCCAGGTAGTTCTCGGGCTTGATGTCCCTGTGGATGATCCGGTGGTGATGCAAGTAGGCTATGCCGGCCAGCATTTGCCACCTTGGCATTAACCGAAACCTGTCACACCATCTTCTCGTTCTGCTGAACTCACATGCAGGACATTGCAAGCACGAACCTGTCCATCAAATTTTCGAACAACCCAAACTGCATCAATGGGACTGTCAGCTTTCGGGTGTCTTCCGATCCACTGAAGTTACTCAGTCCGGAACATGAATCTGCCTGCGACGAAGACAAGACCGGCAGCGCCCCGGTGTCTCTATAATACGCACTCCAGCTCTCATTAGCACTGGGAGGGACAACTGAGAGCTTCAAGAAGCCATGCTGATTACATACATCACACTGAGCGGCAAAGACTGTGCCACCTGACCCGGCCTGTCTTCTCGACCGGCAACTTTGCACGGGAACCTCGACCAGCGGCCTGGCTAGATCTAGAATCAGCCAGACTCATAGACACAGCACAAAGCTTTTGTACAACGTTTGCTGCTGGTCAGTGCGCGACCTGATCTTCGAAAGATGCGTGTCTGCCTGGCCTTGACGGCAGCGGCATTCGCAGACGCCTTACAGTCGCAGCGATGTGCACATGGAAGTGCTGCTGTCGGTCAGTCATGGACCACACCAGGCAGACACATCAATGCACATTTCTGGAAGCTCATTGATCCAATTGTCGTAGCCTGTGATCTTGCACCCAAGTACATGCGTTCAGCGCAGCGTGCAGCGTCTCCTCAGGGCTGGGCCAGCATCTCTGCCAAAGAGCCGCCTCCGCAAAGCTCCATGACCTCGTATGCTTGGGTGCATCTGCTAAACCGCTTTCAATTTCAGCTTGAGAGCTCAATCGATGGCAATTCAGCTGCTCCAACTCGACTAGCTGCTAAGCGAGAGCTCTGACTGCACAGGCAGCCTTTCTGTAGTGATGCTTGTCTCTCTGATTTGTTCTGCCACGCTGGACGCATCAGAAAATGTTTCCAAGAGCAGTGCATCTGGGTTCTGTGTACACTCGGCGCTCAAGTTGCATATCTTACTCATAGTGGGTCGGTAGGAAACACCTTCTTCTCTTCTTGCCCTTGCCACATCGAATGAGAACGGAGTGTGGGCACACGTGATTAGCAAAGCTTGCGTGACAGATTTTAACAGCGACTGGGAGCCTGAGGCGAAGACCAAATGCACACATTCACCTGTCTGGAACACCTCGTACAACTTCACGATGTACCTGGTGAAGGGTTGTACAAGCCTGCCGCTACCATCTGTTGCCTTTCCATGAGAGGAGCAAGAGGATTCAAAGACTCGGCATGTTGCTGCACCCCAAAAGTATCCTACAGACATTCTGTTCGACCCTGCAGCGGTTCGCCTGGATACTGTCTACTCGAAGTGTCCTCGACCGGAAAATCTGCAGCTTTGCAGCTGCGACGTGTGCGAGGCTCGCGGCGCACGGATGGTTAAGTTGCCTCGCGATCTCCAGCTCATCTTTAAAATGACTTGGATCCTCGGTTCCACAATGAAGGACATGCTAAAAGAGTGCGTGCAGGCGTGGAAACGGCATGTCCTCGAGCTTGTCGAAAGGAATCGACTTCAGGGCCCTCAGCAGCCCTGTCCTCCTGCCACTTTGACTGCAAAGCTTCGCAGATGCACAGCCAACACGTTGCCATCAATAACTGCCAAACAAGCACACCTGTGGCAAAGACGGCTCCCAAAATCTGGATCCCCCATCCGCCTGTGACGGACACAGTAGACGACTCCGTAGGAGCCCTTACCTGAGTCAGACGCCCACTAGCTTCTTCTTATGCTTCTGTCGAAGGCACTAGGCGAGCAATTCTGAGCAAGCAACCCAGCTCTTTGGTCGTGACGTAATGATTCTCCAAAAGCCCTGCATGAAAAGTCGTGAGGGCAAGTGCAAGCATCAGTGCACGCTTCGCCCCAAGTGGACAGAGAGGCCTGGCCTTGCGTTTCGGGAACCGAGTTTAAACTTCGGACGGGCGGCATAGGCGCCAGCCTGAGCCCAAGAGCCGAAGTCGGAGCCGAGAATGGCTTCATGGAGACTGTGGGCCGGGCACGGAGGGGACGGAAGAGACCACTGACACGTGCGACCTGTCGTGATTCCAGATTTCGCTCACACGTTGCGCAGTCGCACAGCACATGTGCCAGTCCGCCTGGAGCGCCGGCTCAGTGTGGGGAGACCAGACAAATGCGAGTGATGCTTTTGCTGTGTCCTACACAAACGGTGCGCAGGTGGCCTGGGTCCTCGTTGGGCTGCCCTGAGAACTGAGAACCATAAGATACCCCGTCGACTACTGGTCCTCTTCCCGTCGTGAGTGGCATCAACTAGAAGAGATTCCTTGCACTGTCGGAAAGCCGGGACACCAAGATGTGCACGAACAATGAGATGTAAGGAATCTGCGTGAAGCTTCGTGTGGTCAGCACCAGCCTCAGCTCAGGCACTGGTGGTCTGTACATATGCCATGCCAGCGTTGATGCGCCTCAGACTCTCGAGTATCGCCGCATGGTTCTGTCGCAACAACTGCCTGCACCTGTGTGTGCAGCTTCGGAACTGCTTTCTCCGCCCTATCTCTCTTCTCTTCTTCCACACTGTCAAGGAGAAAGCACGCTCCCCTCTGCGTGCGGGCGCGCCCTGTCTGTGCGAGCCTGTTCAAAGTCTACATAAGGGCCCTCTTTTCTTTCGCCAGGGCTATGGACACAGGAGTTGCGCCCTGTGCCTGGCTCTCTTCTCTCTCTCTCTCTTTCTTTCTGTCTCGCTCTTTCTCTCTCTCGCTGTCTTTCTTTCTGCAGGGCTTAGGGGTCAGCGTTGCCGACCCTCAGGCCTTTGGAGTTCTCCCTCTCTCTCTCTATCTTGCTTGCTTGCTTGCTTGCTTGGAGTGTGAGGGGGAAAACCCCTCCGGCCCGAAGGCCAACCCCCCAAGGCTCGCGGCGGTCCGTCTGATCGGCCCCTCTTCCCTCTCGCTCTTCTTCCTTCGGGTTAGAGGGGCAAGTCACGCGCCCCCATGCCCAGAGGGTCCCCCCATGACTTATGGGGGAGACAGTACACGGACCGATGGATGGACGTACACTCTCTCTCTCTCTCTCTCTCTGTCTCTATCTCTCTCGCTGCTCGACTAAAGCCGTCTTGCTCGCGGACCTTGCCTTCAAATGATCTCCAGCCATGGATATCGCCAAAAGCAGCCCTTCCTGGACAGAGTCGACAAGAATGTCCAAGGCCACTTCGTCAAAGCATGTCAATCACCCGCATGCTTCCGAAATGTTGCCTGAGATCACTTGGTGGATTCTCGGAAGGACCGCTCTGGAATTCTGGCCTCGCCAAAGCAGCAGGAGCCGTGTTCGCTTATGCTTCAGACCTTGCTGCTCTTGCTCTGCCTCGCTTTGATGGCAGCTCGTGGCCGGCAAAGGGGGCTTTATCACAAGGCTGGCTTTACTGCGTGGTCTTCCTATGCGCCCTAGAGCGGCATCGCTAGCACCTCAACCCCGGCGTGTGGTGCCTAGGCAAGGAATGTACCAGTCTTAAGACCCTACATCAGGTCACCAAGACTTTGCAAGTGTAAAGTTGAAGGAACCTAGAGTTGCTTTACTCGTGCCGTCTGTGTTTCCTGCTGCAAGAGACAACAGACCTGGGACCAAGCCTTGGGCACAAGGAGAAAGGCCACGGGAATGCTATGCGGGCCAGGATGCACTGCAACATGTGCCAGGATCGCCGCTCAATCCCGCTTGTCGCAATGTGATAAGTGAAGCTAAACCCTGGCAAACAGAAAAGAAGAGGCAGGTAAGCAGAAGCAGAGCAGGTGGAGTCTGGCACCCATCAGCTTCAGCCAAAGCTTCCGGCGCTCCTCAGCAGACAGCGCCAGCGCACACTCTTTGGACTGACGATACACTGATGCAGGAATATGCAGGATGCGTCCTTCTCGCCGTAGGTCTCACCGATGTAGGACATGAACCACCTAGTGCCGAAAGGAACTCGTACTACATCATGTGCACTCAGCCTCAAGTGCCGTTGTGTAGTCGTGCCAAGTTTGAGACCGCAAAGAACGCTTGCTGCCAGCTCCGTCGTCCTCCCCGTCGTTCTGCTGAAAATTTGAACTATTTTTGTTGACCTTGTGGCCCACGCACGCAGGCGACAGGCGAAGCGTTTACGCTAACTCGTCTGTATATCTCGCAGATTCGAGGGTCTGAGTGGCCAGCTGCATAGTTAGTGAGATGCATGCACTTCTCGTTCCTCAACACATCTGGAAGGACAGAGTGCATGCGTGGTCGTGCAACTTTGGATTGGAAGGGCACTGCCGGATGTTGCACAAGATGCTGAATTTCCGGCAGGAGGCATGGTCTCTGCAGTGGGAGGCTGGTACGGCGTTGTGCACAACCGCACCTGCAGATGTGCAAGGCCAGGCTTCTTGTGAGGTGGTCCTCATGTCCACAGCTAGTACAAGTCTCTGCAGCTGAGCTGCCAGTCCGTCACGGAAGAGAAAGCAGCGCAGGTCGAGCCCAGCTTCTCCACTGGCCTTCCAAGTTCAGTGTGATAAGTTGGTGAGGACGTGAGGTGTTGCGTAGTTTCCTTTCGCCTGTTGAAACATGCGCTGTCTTGCGAACATCGTCATCTAGTACTAGTATACCGACGAGTGCCACGGCGTCTTCTGCATGTGTGACTGCCCGCCTTCTTGGCAGACACAAGGAAGTATAAGCGCAAGTCAAATTTGAGGCCCTCTATCAGCATCGGCCTCGTCAGCAAGAGAGAGAGAGAGAGGGCGTTGCTCACATTCCTTTTCCGCAACACCAAGCCTTACAGAAGCGTGCCAGCAACTGCTTCATTTGTGAAAGAACTGTGCTTCCGGATAAAGCTTGAGATAGCGAGGGCCTCGAGAGGTATCTCTGGACGACAGTGGCCTCTACAGCGTGCTGTACACTGTGCTGTGCCGTGCTCGCATCGCGGGCATCATGGGTTCCGCTGTGACCGGCCTCGTTCTTCTTGCGGCTCTCTTCTGCTGCCTGCCGCAGACCTCGCAGCAAAGACCCACAGAGAAGGGGCTCCACAGCTCGTTTGGGTCTCGAGAGGAACTTTCGTGCTCGATCATGTGGCTGAGGAACTGAGACTCTGGCGGTCGAGCTCTGTGGTTAGGAAGATGCCCCGGCCCTGAACCCCAGTCAGCGACTTTCCACAACCGGAGTCGGACTTAACCCTTACGATGGTTGTGCCTGGCACAGATGATCTGGCTTGACAATGTAAAAGACCTGCCCCGGCGACTCAGAAGTGTCTTCGTTAGACGAGGTGTATGCAGAAGGCCTTGGATTCCTGACTGTTGCCAAATCTCTTCTCAAGGTCTGTTAGATCATCAGGAATGACCTGGTGTCAGACTCATGGTGTGTTAGTCAGCGTGGGCTCGAGCATGTCTCGGTACGTGGCCCAAGTGGGAGGAACAAAACGATAGGCTGCTGGAAACAGCCTTTGCATTCGCGTCATATTCCTGACAGACACTTCGGAAACGATGTGCCCTACCACCGAACTTCGAGCTCTCTCGTCTAGGCCAGAGGAAGATTCTTGGAAAGGTCCTTGCCAGGCGCGTCTTTCGCGCCAGCGCATTGTTCATTCCTTCGAGGGCTATGTTTCGATGCTGCATTGGTCACCAGCACCCTGCAGCAAACACCGACTCTGCCTGGAAAATGGTTTATTCTCATCCAGGGCTCTACCTGCCAGGAGCGATCATGTCTCAGTTACGCAGTCTCATTCTCACTCGTCGTCGCCTTCCTCATCCAGTCTCCAATGTTTGCATCGTCGATCCAGTGAATGTTGCACCTGCGAGTGAACGAAGAGTCGGTCAGGATGGTTGTGGAAGATGCACAACTTAGGCCATAACATCGCAGCCTGACAGTATCATCGTTGGCAACAACTGAAAGTTGGGATTGCTTGCACCTCTAGCCAGCATCTCAGAGTGACCCACCTTCTCTTCGCACTTCACTACACGCCATCCTCGCTCCTCAGCGGCTTGGGCAACAACCTGGCTGAGCAAAGCCAAAGCCGAACTGAACTCCCCCCAGCAAGGACCAGGTTCTGCCGGCCTCATAATCGCTGTGTGAAGCATTGAACTGGACGTGGCCGCCTTTTTTCCGCGGCCTCATGCTCCATGCAAAACTCAACAGGCATAGCCCTCCCTGTAACTTCCATGCTCTTCCACTAGACTTCGCAGCCCAGCCTCCCAGCTGTTAAGAAATGCTTAGTCTGCAAATGCAAAAAGACTTGTGGTTGCCTGCTCTTGGTGTCTTAACGCTGTAGGTAAGGAGAATCAGCAAGACCTCCATGATTGAAACCCATTGCAAGTTACAACAAGCTAGCGACTTTCATGTTTTACATATTTGGAGCAAAGCCAGCGAAGCTCGTGATTTCGATTCCAGGCCTGACAGTGGAAACTTCCGCCGGTGTCCTAAGCTGACCGAGCGGAAGCGGAGCGGAAGATGGTGGAAGTGCGGTTTGGCCCTGGGGGCAGCACTCGCTGCAGGACCGCCGAGGTGAGTTGGAGCCTTAGTCGCGAAGCTGGGCATCACAGAGTTCCCATTCACAGCCGAGAGCGCAGCTCGGCGAGCCGGGGCGCGGCGAGGATCGCCTCGCAAGGTAGTCGAGAGCCGACATCTTGTGACATCTTAGACTTCGAACTTCGAACCTGAAAAGCCAAGGCTGAGACGAAGCAACGGAGCGCGAGTCCGGGGACGGTGACCGCGTGGGCCTGGGCAGAGGTCGAGGTCTGTCACGGGGGGTACGCTGCAAATCTGCTTGAAGATTTTGCCGCTTTGCAATGCTGAAAAGCAAGTCTGTGATTCTAACACTACGTCGGCACTTGCTGACACAAAAACTGACAGCTGAGGCAACGCATGGTGCTACCGTCGCACACTCGGTCAAGCAGCTAGCAAAGCTCATGGCAAGACAGAACCTCGAGCTTCTCAGTCTATTGTGTTCCCTATGTCGATCAGCACCTTGCCAGATGCTCGTCCCTTCTCCAAGTACTCGTGGGCCTGCGCAACCTCCTCAAGTGGGAAGGAACGATCCTGGCGAATTGGAAAGCCGAATCTAACCAAGATTCCAAAAACAGACCTGAACAGCTAAAGCTCGGTAGAGGCTGCGTGAAAGTTCTGCAGCATTCTGCAGCCTTCGGAGACTTCCACACTGACTTCCTGCTTTTGCATTCTTATGCATCAGTCCAAGGAGCCACGACCGGCTTGATGCTGCCTCCGCACAGCGGGGCTCAGCAGACGCAGAATCAGAGACTCAGACTGTGCTTCAGACCTGCATCGACCCAGCTGGCAATGCTTCGCAAGCCAGAAGCATCGGGACTGACCGGGTCGCAATGATAATAGACGCCCAGACCTCTGTGCATATTGCAGATTCCGGAAGCCCATGCTGCCTCAACCTCTTTGCATGAAGACTGCAGCAAGGCTGGGTCTCCGTCCCAGGTAATCTGCCAACAAACTGTTGCCCCACTTCCTGCGCATGGCAACTGCCGGGGAATAAATCCGGAGAGACTTGAAGATAGGCTTCGTAGGCTGCAGAGCCAAACCCTTAGAGGTCTTGAGAAGCGGTCGCATGACCGTCAGCAGGCCCAGCTCGCCCTCGTGCGGCTCCCAGTCGCTGCTCAAGATGTTGACGTAGTGTCCCACGCCTGCGCGAAAGGAAAGGGAGGACACGAAAAACGACAAAAGGTCACATCTTCAACGGAGCTCCGCGAGATTCCGCGAGGCCTGGCTTCAGGACTTGCGAAGCCAGCGTGCGAGCTTCGTACTCCTCGAACTACTGCGGGTTTGGGGCGACAGGAAGAATGGGAGGCTGCCTACATCCCACATGGCCGGTTGAAAGCTTTCGCATTGCAAGTCACCCTGTATTACTCTAGGAGGTTCGGGCGATGGGGGTGGTGTCCACCCTGGGACACGTGTGACAGACGAATCCACGAAGGCATGCGGAAGAGAGCACCCTGATGCGCTTTCCGAGCCAGCAACAGGGACAATGAACAGGGGCTGTTGCAAACTCTGAAATCGATGCAAAGCCCTGACTAGATTTTGGAGCCGCCTGAACTCAGGTCTGCCTCCGAAGCTTTCTAGCTCATTTCACAACCATCCCTCTCAAGCAGGATCCCCAGTTGGAATGTGCCGACAGCACCTGTGTCACTGGATCGAGGACAGCGTCGAAGGCCTGTTGCAAGCTGAAACTTAGCTCGGCTAACAGCGCATCCCGATTCTTGCGGTGTATAATAAGCCTGATGCAGTTCAGCAACTCTTGACCAACTCCTCCTTGGCGGCGCTCGCGGTGGTGGCCACGTGCATGCCCAACCTGTACTTTGAGTACGTTCTTTCAGCTTGAGAACTCTAGGTGTCCCCCATGCAAGAAGATTTTTTGCATGTCGAAGGGCACATTCTTGCAGTACTGTATTGCAAAGGAGCCCACCCCGCCGGCACCAGCGTGGATCAGGATCTTCTTGCCCTTGCTTGACTCGCCGTTTCGTTGCCAAGTCCGGAGGACAGGAGCCAGAGCCTGTACCACGGTGAGCCCGACCAATGGCAATCCAGCTGCTTCTTTTGGCGAGATTTTCGATGGCACATGCGCGATGATTGTGTAATTCGTAACCACGTACTCCTGGAAAGCGCCCCAACTCTGGCCCTGCAGCGGCAACATACCGTACACAGTGTCTCCAGGTCTGAATCCAAGAACACCCGCTCCGATCTGCTCGACTTTCCCGGAAAAGTCGAAGCCCGAAACGGCCGGCAACGGCCTCATGTACTCCAGTGTCGGGTTTCTTCTCTGCTTAAAGTCCACGGGATTCAAGCTGCCGGTTCCCACCTTGATAAGAACCTGTGTCGTTTCACAGCACATCGGTCGTGGGATCTGGGCCAGCTGAATCACTGCTGCTGGCCCCGGCTTTGCAAACTGTGCCGCACGCATGGTCTGGCTCGGATCTTGCAACGCTGGCTTGTATCTGGGGCAGAGCTCGTGTCGAATCAGTTTCAAAACGCAATGCAGTGCTTCTCAACCCTGTCCCTGCCCTGATGCTCAAACCCTGAAGCCAACATTCGTGTAAACGCAATGCGAAAACACCACAAAGCCACTCCAGCACCCAAAAATCGCAATGTTTACATTTACGTACACACACACTGACACTGGGCATGTGTGGCCACTAAGCACTGCTCAAGTGCATTGAAGTGGAGCTCAGAACGCAGAGAAACGGTCCGAGCCTGCTGAATGAGAGAACTAGGATGCCGAGTTCATATGCCAGCACGCCCACGATCAACACCACGTGAAGGCAAAGCACTTTGACCAAAGGGGCGATGAACGCCATTGCTGTTGAAAAAGCTGATGCCGAAAACTGAGCGGTTTGTCTGGTTATGTCTGGTTTTGCCATGCGAGGTCTGGCAGGGGCTGGGCACATGAAGGCTCAGGCTTCAGGTCTGGATACTCGTGGCGGTGTCGCTGTGTAGCCAGGCCATGCGTTGCACCGGTGACTCAAGCTAGCGGCTATGGTAAGCAGCAGAAATGCACCGACAAGAGCGACATTGCAGAGGTATGCAGAGGTCCCTGCATCAGCCCCTGCAAACACAGCGGGACATCTGAGACCTGGACGATGCTGATGGCGACTGCTGTGGCTCTGGCCAAAAAGGCAGAGCTTCAACAAACATGCCTCAACGGCAAGGATTTACACATACTGTGTCAACGTCTGTCGTCGTGTCATGTCGTGTCAGGGACCCTTCAACCACGTGTTTCGAGAGTTCTTGACATCAGCGCAAGGCCTTCGGCCCCTGCGTCTTCTGCTCCCGCTTCATCGCTGAGGTCTTCCTCGCGGCTTGCATTTCTCACAAGCAAGACAAAGCAGACCTGATCTGAACCATCTTGAAGCTCATCGTGCAAGACGACATGGACTCACACTTGGGCGAGGTCACGAGCGAGGCTCATTTCCTCGTCTTCGTCGCTGCCGGCAGGTGGGCTGCCACGTGCCTCTTCGAGATTCGGGCGAGCACAGTGGCAACCAAGCTCACTCAGCAGTGGTGTGCACTGTGCAGATGCTTACTGCAGAGTATGCAATAAGTTACAACAACAGTGGAATGTGATCCATCCCTGGAGGCCTCCAGAACTTGCCTGGTCAAACATGCTCCGCTGGCAAGCATTTCCAGTAGTTGCTTGTCGCAGACCATGGCGTGCACTCCCAATAGATCGACACATCCGGACACACGGAGTGAAGTGGCTGGGTTGGCTTCGGGGCTGAGCTTCGCTGAGGCAAACCTACGATTCAGTGGCCATCAACAGGTTTCTGGGATTGCAATGGGCCATGATTTCTGACTTGCTCCTCGCCGGCTGCGGCAAGGTGGCCAAGTGCGGCATTCTGGAAAAACATGCGTCGGATTGCCGTCGTAAAAGCGGTATCGGAACGATCAAGTGAAACTAGAGGGGCCAATTGCAGTAGTGTTGGTAGTGGATCATGAGCATCATAATGGATCCGTCCATAATCACTGATACTGTCTGCTGGCAGTTTCGTCTTGCTGTCACATGTGATGAGCAGCTAGGCCTTTTGCTCACGAGGTGAAGCATGCTTTGATGATCCACGTCCGTGTCCAGAATTGCTGCTACCTCGTCCTGCCTTGATCCATCACACCTGAACAGCAAACTGAGCGCAAATGTCGACAGGCATGAATGTCCGCAAGCGCCACTGAACTATGAGCAGTTCCCCTTGTTTGACTCCTTTCATGAGGTATGCTAAATGCTGCCGAGGTGAGGGACGTGTTGGCTGCACAGGACTTGCAAACAGTTCATCGGGGCCACATCTTGGGTACCTGGCTACCAGTCATTCCGAGCAACAGGCATTCGCTGTTTGAGGATGTGCTTCATGAGAGTCCTTTGCGTCCTACAGCACCGCGATGCAGAACTCCCCACTTTCACTTTTTGCACGACCACGCTGGGAATGCCGACGTGGTGGGGGTCGTGTTTTTTGTCAAACAACTGCAGTTTCCGTCGTGCACACGTTTTCTTGTCTATACCCACTCCAACCACCACGCCGGCTAGGGCTATCTAGCAAAAATAAAGTCTGGGACCACACCCTCCTCGGCCTGGCCGCCCTCTGGTTCATGGTCATCCGCCCGTGAGGCTGCAGTCAGATCTTCCGGAGGTCTGTCAGCAACCAACTCGTCGTCGTCGTCGTCCTGAGACTCCTCGGATTCGGAGGGCTCTGGCGACCTTGACTTGGAGCCTTTCGAGAAGCCCTTCACACTCTGACCTTTCCTCGATATCGGCGGGATGGCTGGGACGCCTGGGCCGCCTGGCGGCTGCAACGGCATCCTGTTGCCTTTCCCCTTGCCTCGCATCTCCTCTTCACGCCGAAATGGCTTATGCACACGGCCCATCGCGAGCATTCTGGCTGTAGGTGGTGGTGTCCTTGCACGCGTCTGTCGTGAAGGGGGCCCTCTGCTCCTGTTCCTTCTGGCACTCATCTCGTAATCGAGCGCCTGCAGCAGAGCCAGGATCACAGCTCTCAATCAGCGCAACAGGGATCCACCCGTTCATGCCCGCATGTTTACAGCGTTCATGTCCCTTTTGCTGCACAGGTCGGCTGCGATTGCAAGGAACTGCAATGAGCTGAATGCCCCACTTCCCGCCTGAAAGGATTGGGTTAGAGCACCTTGCTCCTGCCAGGGAAGGATGCGTGCATTTTGCAAGCAGGTGAGCCAATGGTGGAAGTTGCTGAACTGCCCGACTCCAGCATTCGGCCAACTGCGTGCGACCGTGCAATGTGGAGGCTTTCTGCAAGTGAACATTGGCTTTGCAACGGCTCAACACGCATTCGCATGTCGCGGCAGCATCTGGCTGACATGCTGGTCTGGGCCGCATGCTGAAGAACTGTCGGATTACGCGTCTTGAATCGTCTTGATAGCTGCACGAACGAGAGAATTTCCAAGGACTTTCTCTTCAATGCCTTCCTTCAACAAACCTCATAGCCATGTCCTGCCTCGCGCATCTCGTTGTATACCTGCAGATGCTTGTGGTCTGATCTTCTTGCTCATCCTTTCATGACTGGAGTCTGGGAGCTTGTACGGCGATTCTCTCACTGACTCTGGACGTCATGCCTAACTCCTGCGCTACCTAGGACCCCATCGAAAATCCAAACAACGACATCCACCACGCTAGCTCTGTTCAACGGCCTGCCGATAGTCCAGGTGCGCTTGGATGAGCATCTCTGCTGAGTCCAAGTGATCGGCCAGTCCGACCATCTCCAGATCCTGCGAGCCGGGCGAGCCGTGCCAGGGATCTTCCCATTTCTTGTGTTCAGATTCAGCGAGCGGCTTGGACTCGAAAGCCAACAGAAGGCAGTCCCAGTAAGTTGGGTTCGACTACGGCTTCTCTCATCTGCTGACAAGTCACTCAGACATGACACAGGCAACGCCTATGAGATGCTGGTCTCCCTCAGCAGCAAGAGATCCAGCGGCGAGAAAAACGTGCTTCTTAGTCGGCAGAAGCTAACCTTCCCTTCGCGTTGAGCAAAAAAGAAAACCGGCACCAGACGAAAGATGAACAAAGGCTGCATCTACAGCACTTCGACCTCGACCCGCCCTTTGGACTCTGGACGTTCAAAATATCTCCTTGGACGTCGTGGGATCCCAGCGCATGCTCAGGAGTCCGGCCTGCACAAGCACACTCGCGCTCCGCTCAAGTCGAAACTTATGCCAAAACAAAAGCTAAGATTATGGTTGAAGCCTTTTGCCCCTCATTTCTCCGCGAGGCGTGCGTCGTGCCGCCGTTGTTGCTGATGGCAGTGTTGCACAGTGCGTGTGCTTGGGATAATCACAAAGCCAACCTCCCTCACTGCTTCCGACTCCATGGGGGATCAGTGCCGACAGGTCGATGGTCTCACGTCATGCCCCTACCTCGGACTGTTGCCGAAAGCTTCTCTCATTGGACCGGTAAATCCCGCTGCTCCAGTTGCCAGCGCTCGAGGTCTGCCTGCAGTTCCATGCCACCAGTTCTGTGCTTGTCCAGAACTGGACTGATCTGATGCTTACATACAACTTACAGATTGACCCTGTCCTATGCAACTCGCGTGACCACCCGTGATGCGGCAAACTCTAGCATGCCGCCTGCCTCGCGCTCCCTCTGCTGCGCAGCATCACTGAGCTCGTCAACTTTCTGGAGCACTGCCTGTCGACGGAGAAAGCTTTGCAAAGCACCAAGCACCGGCGGCGATGATCCGGGCAGATCGAAACAAGCTTCCAAAAACATCACAGTTGCGCAGCACCCCGCCTGCCCCATCTCCCTTGCCTCAGTTTGATTTAGTTTGCATTGGTTGCATGTGAAAATATGATTCATAGCAATACAACTGTTGTGTTATCAAGAACGACACCTCAAGTAGCTGAGGAAAGCACCTGCATTTCCTCCTTGTCCAGCTCCTGTAGTTGAACAGCAATTGCTCGAAGTTGACCACTGCAACATGCACCGGCAAAGGCAGTCCTGCTTGTAGCTTCGTTCCTTCTGCTTAGCCTTCTTCTGGAGATCCAACTTCTCTTGCTGGCAGGAAAGGCACGGTCGGATTCAAGTATCTGCAAACAGCCTGTCTTGTCAAGCCGCCAAGCCTTTCAGCCGGTGGTGGGCCGGCCTCGTCGTGCTGGTTGGCGGCCCACATCTGCTCCTCCTCCGCCCACTCCTATCCAACGAAGCGAATCTTCAGAAGATTCCACCACCAAAGCATACACTGTTTCACTGTTTCAGATTCGCTGGTTCACGCAAACAGTGCCGGTTCTTCCACAGCCCGTTGATTCCACCCTCCAATACCACAAACCTGCGGCGAAGACAGTGGCATCAACAGTGGGATGTTGGGGACCTCAAGATAAGTATACCTGGCCAGGTTCATAGGCATCGTCTCAGCACATCTTCTAAGACCGGATGTCCCAAATCATACAGTTATCCATACCCTGCATATACACGAATGCACGGCCCTGCGCCATGTCTCATCACCCAACCTGCTCCCACTGCTTCAGCAAAACACGACCCTGCACAATAATCACGCCCATCCAGTCGCTTGACGAGCTATCTGTGATGCTTTAGGGTCTGCAAGTAAGGGTGGCTTCCTTAACCTATAACCGGTCTATGCTAAAGCAGCCTCTTGCCGAGTACGACCACGTCGGTGATGCCAATAATTATGGCGGTACTTGGTGCTTCAAGACGGTACACAGAACAAGGCGCACCTCATCGAAGTTGCGCAGCGCACACTCGGTCTCGTCCGAAATGTAGCGCTTCCTCGTCAAAATGTTTTGAAGTCACTCCATGCGCCCCGCTGTAAGCAATGTCTCGGCAAGCAACCCATACCACTGACAGTCGCCAGACTCTCACGTGACTTCCTAGTGCGCCATGATCGCCATGTTCATGTGCAGCACAGTCCAGATGTCCACGCAGTGCACGAAGTTCACCGGCCTTCAGCAGATGCAGCATTGCATCCGCAGTTTCCCACAAAAGAGGTCATCTATGCGATGTTCCGGTCACTCTCGTCACTTACTTTATTTAAAGATGTGCACCAATTCAGTGTTAGTAGCTGTGAGCTGTGAGTACAGACATGCTGTTTAACAGGACCAAACAAAAGACTTTCTTCACTAAGCAGTTAGGTAGGGTGGACCATAGAATTCCACAGCACTTCCCCGTTGGCGAAAGGCATAAGGAGCTTTGGGGTGCTACACCCAGGAGTAATATTCAGCAAGGAAGCAGCAGCCACATGCAGTCACATTCTGTCGAACAGGAGGGAAGCTGGCTATGATAGGCTCTGGCGCTTCTCAGAGCTGAGCTCAGGACTTGCAGAAGATCTTCACCTGACAAAAGAGGATAGTCAAAAGGAGACATCTTTCATCTGTCTCAGTGCATCATGAGTCTTCATCCTTGAATCGCAGGAGTGAAAAGTCCACAGTGCTCCGCGATGAAGTTTCTGCTTTATTTTTGCCGGGCTGCTTGTGCTGACCAGGCAAAATGCTCATCCACCGGGATGCTCTCCGGCAAGGCCTCTCAGTTTTCGAAAGCATCCGCTCTGACACATCTTTATTTGAGTTGATTTGTATGTTGCATCTGATAGTACCGCTCTGAGATGCGGGCACAAACTGGTAGTTTGCGGCCAAGCTGAGGATGGATGGCCCATGGCTTGACCTGGTGTCCCAGCTCGGTTCGAATCATGGCTGCACAACAGCTGCAGAGGCCATGGCTGCACCGTTGAAGTGCAAGAGTTTGCCAGTCTGGCTGCAGGACCTTCCCGCACGAGATCGGACGGAACAGTGCATTTCCAAGCTTCATGACTCTACCGTCTGAGGGCCGGGCACGACATACGGAAAAATGGATCCCGACTCATCCACTTTGGCACCCAGTTTGTGAACTGCCTGAAGCAGCAACAGCAAAGACAGAAAGATGATGAAAGATGGCTTGGCAAGTGGATGGACAGCACAGCCTCGGGCTAGAGTATGGGCTAGTCTTCCGAACTCTTCGGCGTGGTAAGTCAATGTATGTACGTCGCGAGTGCAATCAATGCAAGATTCTGACCTGACTACCTGCTTTCTGCATACTGGCATTGCCTCAAGTGCTCTCACGCTTACCCAGGGGATGCTGAGTTCGGAGCGACATGGTCAAATCCCGTCTCTCGCAGAACGCGTGCCTGCCGACGAGCGCAGCTGCAGACATGATGCTGATGCTTCTACAAGGATCGAAAACTCACAGAGCCTCTGAATAGCCCATGTTTTCGCGGCCCAGGGAGTTGCAATTCCACCTTTCAGCCAAGCGTGACGTGTTCGACGTTCTTCTGCTTTCCTCTTTTTGACATTCCCAATCCGCGCTCAATACCTACCCTTATCGGTCATGTCTACCTGCAGAGCCTCATCGCTGACAAACAAGGGCGGCTACAAAATGCCAATTCAGTGACCTCTTCACTCATACTGAGTTGAACGCATCACAATTCGGCCAATAAGACGGAGAGAAAATGCAGACGACACTGGCATTCAAGACTCATACCTTACCCCAGTATCTAGGTGAACCCGTCCGCAGACCGTCAGCCCAAGTGTCAACCCAGGATTCCGAAAGAATTGGTTGTAATCGTTATACCCTTAGCATGAATTCCCTTTCTTCCTATGAAAATTTAGCGAAGAATCCCACGCCAAAAACCTTTAAGGCGCAATCCAGGACTCGGGCTTGTCACCCAAGTCGAGAAAGTCATCCTTCATTGCCAAGAGCCAAGGCGGCTGCGACCTGCATCGACAGCACAAAACTAGTCACCACTGCTTTCTAGCTGGACTCTGCATTACATGAAGCCCAAGGGGGTGGCATGCCGCCATGCCAGAGATCTTTGCTGGAATCCTTGTACTTTTGCATCCTTGTGGTGCGACGGAGGTCTAGGTGTTCTGAAATTTTCGGAGTGCAGTGGGCTCACGGCCAAAACTCGATCTTTTCGGTCATCCCCTGGCCGACCCAGCGCTCCACATCAATGACGAGAAGGCCCCGATTTGCAATGCACGCCTCCCGAGGAGTTGAAAGATGCATGGAAGCCTAAGCTACTGCCGTCTCAAGACATCGAAGGCCTCTGGATCAAACTCTGCGAATCCCAATTCACCTGCCAGACTCTTGTGCAGAAGCCTTCTGAACTTCTGTCAGACGACGGAAGCTCTGCATTGAGCATAAACTCGCATTTGGTTCGGATGCAGCAACCCAGAAGAACGGGTTGAGTTGAATCAGTCAAAACTAGCGGGACCTCTGCTTCCAAGCGGCGCAGGGCCTCGAAGTCCACGTACTGATGCAGTTTCTGCAAACCTTGCGCTTACTCCTTTTCTTGTTTGGGAAAAGGAACACGAGCTTGCGTCGGCAACTGCTGCGTCAGCTACTTAAGTCAACAACAATCATCACACTCCAGGAAGCCGGACAGTACTTCACAGATGCGCAGGAGTGCCCCTGAAGGTCAATGTCCTGTCACGGCCACTGTCCGAATGATGCTATTTCAGTGTTTACGATTCCAAAATTGCAGACACAATGTGCCACGAAAGGTAATGTCATGATTCGTGGGTTTGAACCTGCGAATACTTGCGTTCACGAAACTCAGCTTCCAGTATGATGCACAGCTGCTGACATCTGCGTTCCTGGAGCTCACCCAAGTCTCCCATGATCACGGTGTCCGTGTCGATGTAGATAAGCCTGATGCCAGTGGCTCATTCGCGGCAATCGTGGCCCAGCCCCGCCAAACGATGCCCAGCGAAGGCCCAGTCTCTGTGATTCACCGTGTCGCCTTTAGGTACTATAGGCCAATCTGTGCCCGTTCCAAATCAGCCCATAGCCCTGAAGCAGCATCGCCCAACGCTTCTGGCGAGGGACCGGCGAGGAGACTCTTCACCTCCAAGTGATCAAGCAACATGGCAACTGACACGAGGAGTGGTTACGGAGTTGATCACAGTGCTCTTCCTAACCAGAAGAACCCAGTGGACAGGCGCGAGGTCCGACGTAACTTTCGCATGAGGCACAAGCTGTGCTCCATGGGGTCTGATCGCGCTGCTTCAGTTGGCACTGCAAATACGTACTTGTAGACCGGACGCTGTCTGAACGGCAAGGTCCTAGGCACAGCGGGAGCCAACGGATCCAGTTTCCAGGCCTTCTTTCACGTATTCGTGAAGGTAGAACGGCCTTTCGTGCAGAGTGCGGCTGCTCAACGCCCTAAGAGCGAGTGTGGGACAGTCCAAGTGCCTGGCGCAAAATTAAACGGGCTTGCCAGGACCTTCCTGGCCTGCTAGCACCAGCATGTGCCAGCAACTTGCCGATTTGCACCGTTCAGTGATAGAGTAGCAAGGCTAGGGTGGAGCTGCAGGTCAGCGATTGCTCAGCTGTGGGTGCCGGCTACCTAGATGCCGGTTCAGAGCTGCACCAATCTAGAGCCTCTACGTGGCACGCGCGGGCCTTGGAGCTCTTCCGAAAAGTGATGTGCGACCTGGCATGCACGTTCAGAGCTCGTGCAGCACGACCCGCACTTCTGACAAGACACGAGCCGCAGTGCATGCGAACACCCTGCTGAGAGCTGCCGCTGCTCTGCTTTTTCCACAGAGCCTAATCAATGATCTTCAATCCGTGCCGGAAGCCACGAGATCCGATCCTGCAGGGCTTGATCTGCGACCACCTGCAGGAGCTGTTGATCAAGGGTGGGAGCGACTGGACTGCTAGCTGCTAGATACTGTGACTTCCGTGAACTCCGTGATCCGAAGACCTAGCTGAGTCGCCGCTGAGCTCCATTGCAGTAAATGACATGAACGCAGCCGTCAGAGAATAATCGTCACCGTCAGACACCATCAGCTCGACAGAAACACGTAGTGCAAAAACTAAAGGACGTTCTCGGATGTACGGGCGGGCACCGGCCTTCACAGCAATGTCAGGCAAGTGCGCTCCTTGATCGCTGGTCGAGGGACTTTACACTTGTTTCCGTCGAGGCCGGGACGGACAAGCTCTTCAAAGATGGGCGCCTCGGTGGCTGTAAGTGCTGGCTGCAGTATGCCGCAAGATGCCGCAAGAAGCGCGCAAGTCATAGTAGTCCAAGTAGACGGCTTTTCGTCCCGAATGCAAAAGCGCGGGTTTCTAGGGCATCCAACGCACGGGTCGGTTGCATCGGCTGGCCAGGGAAGGTTAGTAGTGAATTTGCCAGACGGGCTGTGAAACAGCGAGAAGGGTCTAGTACATCAAACCTGTCTCCTGACTGGATCTCGCTTCAAGCTCAAGATGGATGTGGAAAATGGCGCCCATAATGGTGCAGGCGATCCTTCAGATTGCTTGCAGCGCGCCGGAATAAAACGTTGAGAAGCGTCCCAAGCAATGGACAATGTTTGTAAGGGTTAAAGCCCAAATAAAAGGAAACGAGCTGGTCTCTTGACATCGACCGGACTCTCTCTGCTTTACATTACATTATGCGTCAGCACCACGGAGCTCGTGGAATGAAGTCTAGCTCACTCACCTCAGTCGCAAAGCAGTCAGACGCGCGGAAGCGTCGTGTCCTGGGACAAAGCTTCTCTCTGCCTTGGGCCGGGCCACGCTGGTGACCTTCCTAGGCCGTTGCCGCGCACCGCAGCGAGCTTTCACCAGCTCGGCCACTCGCTCGTCATGCGCATTCGCACCTGGACCCCATGGGGCCGGGGGCTGGGCCACGCTCCGAGTGAACAAGCCTCTCAGGCTCGGACCGGGACCGTCTGACAAACGGCTCGGGCCGAAGTCGGACCAGCTGGTGGTGCGCCACATATCCGTCACATGCAGATCAGGCAGCCCCTGACACAAGTCTTCGACGATCTACGATGAATTCTACGGCCTCTACTTCATCTACTGTGACGTTATGACCAAGAAGCTCGAAATCTGGGCCGCTCTGACTGCGCCGATCTCGGTGGGTCCATCATGGGACGATTCGCACCTGGATCGGGTCTCCCATGGTCTTCCAGCAGTGCACAGCGAGATGTTTGCAGACAAGGATCCTGCATCGGGACTTGTCGGTGGGAAATCGGGCGGCAGCCAGCGTCCTGAGGTCGCCTGTTTCCAGCCTCTGCTGCTGTAGGCAGAGCTGATGCTTCCCTGGCCGGGAAGAGTCTCGCCCAGCCGCCGCTCTGTAGATTTCGAGGAGCTCTGACTTTGCCTGTGTTCAGACGTGTGGCTTTCGCAGGCCTTCACAGCGGTCTGGTTTAGTAGGCATTTTAGCTGCAGCTGCAACTACTGCTTCACATTACAGAGTATGCTGTGGGCAGTTCCTGAAACGTTGGGTCCACTACACACCACGTCCTACTGGCCCATTCTCCCATGCCTGAGTTTCTCGCTCTCGTAAGCATCGCTACGCGCGTTGTTTTCCTTCTGGATGCTTTCGCGGTAGCAAACAGATGCCGACGCAGGGCTGAAGCTTTTCGCTGAAATGCCAGGGAAGTAATTCTTTAACGCGGCGGGATCCGGCGGCTGGCCGAAGAAGACCATGGCCGGGAAGGCACTGCAAGGTCTCTAAGAAACACAATTTTGAACCTTGGCTTCAGAGCAGCTGACATCAACAGGCGACTCCTTGGAAGCCCAGGGGAATTAGAAGAGAACCATTTGCTATCGGGGCCGGGGCAAGCTCGGTGGTCGTGATGAGGTGGAAGATAAGCCTGCCGTCTGCGACAGCAACAAGAAGTAGCAACAGATGATCCAGAGAAGCTGGAAAGGCTCGCTGACCGACTGGCAGGTGACGGGGCTAGATCAAACCCCCGAACTTGCTTGACCCCAGCATTGATTCGTCTACACAACCGACGTTATCCTTATGTTTTACTGTTATCGTTGACAAGACAAAAACCTTCTCAACCTAAGTACGCGCTTTCTCTTCAACCCGATAACGGGGATGTCCACCATCCCTCAGGTGTTCTGCGACACCACGATTGGCACACGGCCTGTCCGGGCTCGCCGCATTCGTCCATGCCTTGGGGAGGTGCATCACATGTCTTTCCAACATGCCCGGAAGCAAACGTCATTCTTACTCTGACCTACAGTCAGCAACCGGAGACTACAAATAAGGGCATGCAGCGACACCTCAGCTTCAAGCCGACTGGATTGCCACTGCGGCGGCACGCAAATCGGCGCTGTCGCTGGTCAGGCAAACCTGCCATCAATAGCTCGACATAGCTCGACAGAGGATGGTGTAGCGAGGGGTCGCCGAACATATCACATGATTCAAGATCTTCCGGCCACATGTAGAAAACCTCATGCAGGCACATATGTCCCGTACCCGTACCCTCGAGATGAAGTACGTCGGGAAGGCGTGAATGCTGTCTGTGCTCGTCGAGCTGCCTTGGCAGCTGGTAATGTCTTTTCAAACTTTTCAGGGTGTCTTCATGTGTCTTCTATCTTAGTTCTTGATCTCCGCAGAGGTCTGGAGGCTTGAGGATTTACATCACCGAGTCAGAATCTCCTGCCCGTGGCGAAGTGGAACTCCGGCTGAGCTTGGAGCCGGCTTTGCGGAGTCCCGACTGCCGTCTGAGCCATCCCTTCGCAGCTGGAGCCTCAGACCACCTACGAACAAACCGAAGCACCTTCTTCCCTTGGACACTCCTTGGAATCTGCAACTGGGTGAGGCGTCCTTGTCTAATTACGGTCCACCGTCACGACCCTGCAGTCCCCGCAAGATCTCTCAAGACCCTTGAAGAACAACATATCAGGAGGGGCTGACGCGCATAATGCGGCAGTCTGGGATCGCGACCAGGACAAGGGCTGCGAGGATGAGAACCACAAGGCACACAGCTCCTGCAGTTGAGCTTCCATGGTTGCGCGGCTGCAGCCCAAACTTCAAAGAGCGTTGAAGCTGGGAGTAATTCGTACATCACAGTCACGCTAAATCCACCTAATAATCTACCGTCGAATCAACTTGCCAGAATTACACCGCCCTGCGAACTCCCCGGCGAAAGCTGTCGAGGCATTGGCCGCAGAGGGGACTTGTCGGGCGTGCGTCTCTAGTGCACGACGCCTGTGCTACTGGCCACGGAGACCTACAAGATCGAATCGCCTTTTGGCACCAACGTTGGGGTACCGCATCTCGACTGACCAGATTTTTCGCAGAATGGCTACGTCGGTCAAACCCTCCATTCACGGCTCGAGTAATAGTAACCGTTCCATGTTATCGCACCGCTCTTTGAAAAAGGCAGACACATCGCGCTTCGGCTCAAGCATGACAGGGAGCTTTGAAGAGTCAGCGCAGCCTAGCGGGCGACGTGACCCACTACGATCTATAGGATTGAGGCCCAGTGGCCGGGCAGCAAACCTCATACAGGGGTTGGCTTCCGCGCTCTCTTCGCGGGTTTGGCTCGCAGGAGATGCGTTCCACAGCATGACTAGCTTCCTCGCAGCACCTTGCTCAACCTTAGCCAATTGTCCCAAATGGCAAAATGTGTCTGTCCTTTCAGAAGCCACGGCCTCACAAGACCTCGGCAACAAGCTCGCAACACGCAGCACCGGCTCATGAGCTCAGGCTGAGGCTCGGTCGTAAGGTCTTCTCCACCGTCCCACCGGGAGTGTTCTGTGACCTCCTCCTGGAGTACAACCACACCGAACTTCACGGCCCCTTCATGCCCCCTCGCAGTCCTCATGGCTTTGGCAAACTGGCCACGAGCTTTGCATGGCGGGTTGCATCGGAGGCTTGTCACACAGGTGGCTGTTCTCGCAGTGGCTGCAGGAGCAGCATGAAGGAGCTGTGTGGGCATGCTTGCGAGACGTAGTTACCGTTTGAATCTACAGGCAGTTCTCAGAGCTCGTCTCGGTCAACGTCAGTGTTTGCTGGATGGCAAGGCAAGATTCACAACGCGCGACAAGAGCGAAGCAAGAGCGAAGCAGGCACAGTCGCTTTCCGAAGCCGCACTCGGTCAGAACTTCCAAAAGCCCATGTGCATGGCCAAACTGCGGAGGATGGCTAGTCCTTCAAGACGCACGGTGCTGTCAGATGAGTGCGGGAACTCCTAGACGACACAGTACCAAACACGCTCTTTCGCGACCTTCTTCGAATCCGGCCAACCGGCATCGTAGCCCTTCCTGGCACATCCAATGTGCTTTCCAAGCTCGCAAATCTACTCCACGACGAGCCTTTCACACACTGTTCCTGTGTGATATGGTTGACATGGCGATAAGTACCTTCAATACTAAATTAAGTCAATATTACCTCTGATCAGACAGATATGACCACCAGGAATGCTTATCGCATTGCTTCTATTCCAAGCCAAAGCAGTAGGACACTAGTTTTGAGTCTGATGGATTTTTGCTTCCGGTTCATGTCCTCCGCGACTTTCCTGGGTGCTCCCCCGAAGAACACGGGAAAGTGTTAACAATCGAGAATTTCGCGAAGATTGCTAATCAGTTCTTTTGGACTTGAGGGTTCACCGCTGGTGCAGGAAGCAACTCCCCAAGCTTTGTTGTTGCTCATGCTGACTACTCTCTACTCCCCGCGCGTTCCCGCATGCACCAGAGGAGTGACGTGCTCAGGCGCGTATTCCTCTCTGTTTCCTGTTTCTTCGCCATAGTACAAGTTGACCCGGGTTCAAGCAGGCCGGTGCTGCAGTCCACAGTCTTGCTCCGACGTGAGAAACGCCTTCAACTATTGACAAGAATGGCTCAACATGACAGTGTCAAGTAGCATCTTTGCTCGCTCTGGCCCTGAATACGGCACCACACGCTTGCAAAGGCCCAGACCCACCAGAGGCTGGAACAGTTGACCAAGCGCCTCTCCTACACAAAGGGCACAGACTTCAAGAGGCTGCCGTAAGCTAAGCTAGATGTATCACAAAACCTCTGTAGCGGCAGAACTACGAGCGTTGCTCCTGGCCAGCTGCGCAGTGCAAGGCAATCTGCGGTTCACCGGCCCGAGACCAGCCTTCTGACACAAGAAGAGTCTGTCTGTGTCTGTGTGTGTGTGTGTGTCTCTGTCTCTCTGTGTGTGTGTGTCTGTTTCTGTGTCTGCGTCTGTTTCTTTGTGTGCGCGCGCGTGTCTGGGCGGGTGTGCGTGTTGTGTCTGGCAAGATTAAGCACCCTGCCTTGGCCTTGGTGGGGAGCCGGCACCTGCCGCGGAGTCCACGCAGACACACGGAATGAAAGTGAAAGCAACCTCTCCAGTAAGTGAAGGGAGGCCCTTATAATACAGTACTTGTAACATCTTATAACACATGCGATGTCCCAGACAGATGCTCCGAAGCCGGCTGGATGCACCTGTCTGGACTTGAGTTTAGGACTGCCATACACAGTAAGTCGGATTCCTGCTCTTCACAACCCTCTTACTCGAATCCAAGAGGGAAGCATGAACTCTGACCAGGGACAACTGATCACACATGACCTGTGCTAGCAAGCCCATCATGCAAATGCTGAACCTGATCTGCCAAAGGCGCTTGGAATAAGGCTGTCATTTCAAGATGCCCTATTTGATGACTTTGATGAGTGAGCATCCAGAACGAATCGCACCGTGCTAGGGCTGCTAGGGCTTACGCAAGCACATCAGCCCAACCCGTGCCTCCGGCCAAGCGCATAGAGATGGGGATCTGGTGCAAAGTAGGCAAGGAAAAGACCGTGCACGCTGAGCATGAAAAGGTACTGTTGCGGTACGGAAGTCACTGGCAGACCTCTCTGTGAACAGCCATGGCTTGTCGGGGCCACTGAAATGGAGCCTAAGCAGTGCTGGAGCTGGCACGGCTGCGAAGATCTGCGAAGTTCGAGGGCCTGGCAACTTTGCTCCAGCCTGCAGCGAAAGCACTCGGCTCCAGGTCTGGGCCATCAAAACTCCATCAGACTCGAGTTTGCTTTCTATGCTTTCTGGTTCCTGCAGGGTTCGGTGTCTGCGTTCTCGTTCTCGGGAGAGCTGAAAATGAGTCTGTTTATGTCATCTCCTTACCCTTCTTAAGAATCGCAACATGACAAGGGCATGCGGCATGTGTCCATCTCCTGTGCCTCTTGAAAGGATGACAACAAGCAATCCGCTGAGCGATCGCCGCTCCCTTTTTCGGAATGTTTTCTATGCAGCCGCCTAGTTTTGAATTCGGGCTTCTCAGTTTCTGTTTCGGTGTCCACGCAGCCGCATCACGCGAGGGCAGGTCATGTGTCTATGAGAAGGTGTGTCATCCTGTGCCTTTCGTGTTTTTGCAATCGTATGAGACCTGCCGGTGATTCGGGATCTCCGCTAGTCGAGACAATTTGTGTGCTGAGTGTTTCCAGCTGACACTGCTGCTCCGGCCGGATGCCGGAAAGCTTATGGCTCGCGTGAGAAGCTCGCCGGAGGCACCGTGCAAAGATGTAAGGCGGGATGCAGCCGCCCGGAAGGGCTAATTGCCAAGTCCTCAGTATGTACACCAGAGTGGCCGAAGCTACACATGAAGTTCTTCGGCCGCAGATTCTTGGAGTTGTGGTTCCTGTCAGCCCTCTGCAGAGTGAGGCCTGGACCAAGCGTGCCATGTCCTGAAGGGTTTCAAGAAGCTGGACTTGCGGATGTCGCCGAACCCAATGATGCGGCGTTTGCTGCCCGATGATCGGTAGCAGGCTCTGCACACAGCACTGTTGCGTTCGCTGCCTCTTGGGTAAAGCCCGTCTTGAGCAAGGTCTTTGTCTCTCGGACTGTTAGCTCCTCCCATGGCAGTCTGTTTGCAGACTCTCTCTACTGTTCAATCATTCCTTTTTGTTACAACCTCCTGCTGAGGCATGTCGCACTGCACTCTGCTGGCTGCAACAGATCTTCATTGATGCGTCCTCTGACCCCAAATCCGCACACGCCCAGGCAGGATCCAGTTCTACGAATGCGTCCTGCAAGTACAGGGGCCTATGAACGAATGGACCAGAAGTGCAACTCGGCTGCTTCAGGTGCTTCTGGGCAGAAATGGCAAGGTCCAGCGACAGCATCAAGGGCGGCGTGATCAGGCTCTTCATCCAAAGGTCCTTGTCAAACTTACAAAACTACTAGTTACTAGTTTTCTGCATCTGAATCTGTACAAAGTGCGGACGAAAGCAATCACAAACGCCCTCCTACACCCTCCGTTAATGGCCCTGTTGATCCCTGTTGCCTGTCGCTGGTCATGGAGCAGTGCAGCAGCACCTGCTGAGTTGTCACTTCACACCTCGCCCAGTATTGTTGCTGGCTTTTCTTCAATAGTCGTAGCTTCTCCACAAACTACAGCCTTTTGCCGTTCATGCTTCCTACTGGTAACAACCTTGACTCGCTTGAACTCGGTCCTCCTCCAGAGGCTGATCTCGGTAGCGCTGCAGCCAAGTGAGGATCTTGCCAGAGACGTTTTCGGCCCTGGCGAGAGGAGACTCAAGCAGTTCAGCCGGAATCCAGCTGCATAGCTTGCACATGCTTGCACGTAGCTTGCCCGACATGCTGAGTGCCAGCTGCCATCTGCGCGAGTCGATTACCATCAGAGCAGGGCTCAGCGCGCAGTCCTGGAATCCGAACATCTGCTGCATGCGACTGGTGCCACGGTAAACCCCAAACTGGGCCGACAGTCCTGCGGCTTCACATTCCCGGGGAGCTCATACCTTGTTCAACAAACTATGGAAGCGATTCGCTCAAGGGTGCACGGTGCACTACGACAGTGAAGCATGCAGAATGGACTTGCGCATGGCTCGTAGGATCCATTGCTGCGATGTGACTAGCGTTGTGAAAAACTGGCTCTGTTAAGACTGGGATGTTGCGCAAACCTTAAATTGCCTTAAATATGCATTTTAACTGCAATGCGTTTGGAAGTCCGTGTCGAATGCATGTGTGTTTGCAGGGTGAGTTTTGGATGCGTTTTGGATCCGTTTTGGTTCCGTTTTGGATCCGTTTGGGATGCGTTGAAGGTGCGTTTGAAGTGCGTTGTGGGGTCCGTTTCAAGTGTGTTTTGGGGTCTGTTTGGGATTGGTCCGGCCAGGCCCCTGTCCGCGCAGCCCGGCCCGGGCCAAACGGATCCCCGAACGGATCCCAAAACGCACTTTTCCTAGGGAAAATGCGTTTTTGAAGCCCAGCCCCGGCCCCGCCAAACGCATCCAAAACGGACCGAAAACGCATCTGAATCGCATATTTAGGAAATACAGCATTTCCAGAGTCAGCAGGCGGCAGATTTTCACAAGACTGCGTCATGTTGTGCAAGCAGGTATGTACAGACAAGACGAGGACATCGGGTTGCAAGCATCGCTCAACATGTCTAGCACGTGATCGGGCGCAGTCCATGTTTCAACTGCTGGGAGACTGAGGTACGCGCCCCTGCAGAAGATCGAACTCCAAGATTTCAGAGAGCTGGAAGTGACAGGACCTATGCAGGATGATAATGTTTCCTTCGCGTCTGCCCTGATATCAACCTGGCATAACCTGGCAGATCGCAATCAAGGCCTAAACCGAAGCTGGAAGCACGAATGACAGCCACACCATCAAAGAGCCACAACGGCTGTAGCGGTGTGTCTCAACTACTACTATACCCACCCGCGTTCTTTCACTTGTCATGCTTGTCTTCTCAACCATACTGCATGCATGTATGAATGTCCGCAGGCGTACTGCGCACACCGTATTATGCGAGCATGTGACGGTGCACGAATCCGTTCTTCCTCTGCTGTTATGTACATTCTCGCATGATGCATCATGATGCATCCCAGGTGCCCGCCTGTGCATGGGTCTGCATGCAGCAATGCAGCTACAGGCACGCAACAAGAACACCTTTCATGTCTTCTTTCTCCTATTTATTCAGTCCTCCCGTCGGAACTCTTTCTGAATCTTTATGACATGATCCCCATTCACTCATATTGACAAGGTGCCTGCCTAGCAGCTGCCAGCGGGGTCCCCTTCAAGATGCGAGAGAATTCGCACATGATGAAGACAGCATTCTACCTGCTTTGCACAAGGGCATCCCATGAAGCCCTCGCTACCTTCAAGTCGATCTCGGCCAAGTTGCTGATGTCACCCAGCACCACAGTCTCGGGATCCTGTGTCTTACAGAAACCTCCAAGACTGTAGAAGCCCAGCTCACTACCTAATGGAACCGAAGCAGCGCATAGCAGTCTACTTTCTGTTTGGACGGAAGGGTGGCAGTCAAGCGACAACCGTGAAAGAGCCAAGCAGGCTAGAGTGCTCTGAGCAGGCCGCGAGATAGACCAAGCGCGATGCTCTTCCTCGTAAACTCCTGCATGCAACATCTTTCCACGATGGCTCCATGCCACGGCCGCTCGAAGGTACAGTCGTCCGATGAGTGGAGTTACCACAGACAGCGCTTCGACGGAAGGTGCATCACTGCAACACTTGTGCTCGCTTTCGTTGGCCCCCCCTCTCCCCCCAACGATACAAGCAATGCGGAGACAGCGAGACGCAAGGTCCTTCCCAAAAACCTGGGCCATGCAGACACAGGCTACTCACAGGCTCTAGGTTCGTTCTGGCATCCAAGTCCCAGTGCCACTGCATTCTTGGAACCCGGCTCAGGCAAAAAGAAGCGGACGAAGTGAAAGATACTGGAGTCTCTGCTCAGGACCTGCAGGCTTGCATATTTGTGCCTGATAGCATATTTATCATGCTTTTTCCAGCACAAGCCCATCCGGATCGATGTAGAACGTAAGGCATGTGAAATTACAAATGACAGGTCGGAATGCTGTGCAAGTGAGACCTGCCTGTGAAGAGGCTCTGAAGGTCACGAATGCGCCTCCATGCGCGAAGCTCACATTTTCGTTTGCACCCAGACTGTCAGAGTGGGGATGTTAAGGATCGTGGCGGCTTGCGTAACTCAAACCCCGGGAGAGAACAGTAGAAGCACAGCCATGCAGTCGCACACTGATGCGAGCCATCGATATCGTACAAGGCAAATACAACAAGATGCCCGTGAACAAAACAAGCCGATCCGAGTGCTATGAACAGAGCTAAGCCGCTGAGTTTCTTCAACATTCGGTCGTTGGCGTGGACCTGCAACATGTTCGTGGTGGGAGGCAACTTGGCAGCTCGCGGCAGCTCGCGGCCTGCACCCTCGCCTCCGGCAAGTAGGCCGAGAGTTGCCTTCGAGAGGCGGAGCATCGCGGAGCGCGACTCGAGTCTCTGCTGGGTTTCGGGGCCCTGGCTCCGCGATGATCCTTAGAGCAAAGATCCGGCCAAGCCATGTCATGCGAAGCAAGGGCTTTCCAACCCTAGCCTGGTCCCCGAACCTTCCCACTCTTTGGCCAAGATGCTGCTGAAGGTGAGGCGAGGTTATGACGTGAAACTGGACCAGGTCAGGGTTTTCTGCCTCGGCAGTTCGACATCGGATTCGGGATGGTACCAGTACAGCACTGGGGTGACCTAGAAGCCTCTCAGACCTTCACCGCCTTACCAAGGCCGCTGCGTGCACCCATGCAGAGTGGATGGCCACCGCAAGGGGTCCTTCTGGCATTCGTACATCATGTCTAAACTCGAACATGGCAACGAAGGACGCTGTTGCTTAGTATACTCACCTTGTCAGCAGCTGCACATCAGAACAAAAGTGACGTGGCCAACACTGGGACCGACGCGGAGCTCAGAGTCATCGATGCTCAAGACTACCTGGAAGTACACGGCCATAAAGTTTCTGCATGCTAAAGGTTGTGTAGAGAGAATTCGGTGCCATGCCATTGAGCCTTTATAAGCTCTTCAATGCAACTACTTTGCCAAGCATTGCAGCACATTCGGCGCTCGCCACTCAAGACATGACCTGGCACTGGGGTCAAAGTCCCGGACGTGGGTCAATTGAGCGGCCTCGGGCAAGCGCAAATGGAATGCATTCTTCCACTATAACGCTCTCTGACACCGTCGGCAGCGAAGCAGACTCTTCATGCAAGTCGCGCCATCGCCAGGCAGCGGTTTGAAATGGAGATGCCTTATGCTCGATTGAGCATGCAGCGATCTCTGCAGCTTGCTAACAGGCTTTGAAAGGCAATGTTGGCAGCCCGCTGCACTGGCATGCTGTGGCCTGAATGTGAGGAAAAGAGCTGTCAGCGCCAGGCCTGGTTTGCAGCTCAAGTGATTTAGGAAGTGAAAGCTCTGCAGAAAGCCGCGCGTTTTTTGATGACTGCAGGCCTGCCAAAGTCAGCACCCATAGCAATCGGACAATCATGCCACGTCATGCTGCTTGGGTCAGTCCTAGCTATTTGTAGGTTGCGCAGATCCGTGCACTCGTTGGATGCAACACATGGAAATAGACTGACACTAACGCATAACGGTCACTAACGTTTATAAGCTCGTGGAAGCATGTGCTGTTAAGCCAGTCCAGTGATGTACATCGCGAGCCTGCTCGACAAGTGACGCCACGACAGGTCGCCCTAAATGGGATGCAGCGGAGCGACGCAGGCAGCCAGCCTTTTCGGCAATCTCCCGAATGTTGGCCAGGTTCCTGCCCAAGATGTACCTGACCATCTCTCCGAGGCGCCGCCGTCCCGAACGGGAGTGAGACTGAGGCTCTGAGGGCCCTGGCCCGACTTCGTCAACGTCGAAGGACAGCTTCCTCCTCTTGTACTCAAGCTGCCTTCAGGCCACCGCTTAGCGGCTTAGCGCTTCCCGTGCGCGGACTAAAGCCACTCTTCCGGAGCCTCTGCGTCGCGGCTACCGCATCGGGGTCTTGACCAACGACACGCACCTGGACAATTCGGGAAAAGGCCCTGCTATATGAGGGCTAAACGCTGCCTATGCACCAGTAAGGAAAGCCAATCGTGGAAACGGATGCGTGCCAACAGCTCCTTTAACTCGAGAGTGTTCACGACTGAGTGCCCGGCAATGGCCTGGTTCCTCACATGTTGAAGCACGAGGTGCGTGGATGCAATTAATACAGTACCTTTTAAGCACAATCCCTGGCACGTCCTGTCTTGTGGGCACTTGAGCACCTGCACTCGCGACTCTTGAGACGACTCGCAGTTTTCGGATGATGGACTGCTCTAGTGCTGACAGATTAGAGGTGCAAAACAGTGCAAAACTGGAAGTGTGCATCTGTCTCGATGTTCAAAAGCACTGGTTTCGAAACACCGTGTAGCTCGCAAGTAAGACGTGACAGGAAATCCATCAATCATCCACCATCCCAATTTGTCAACGGCTGAACTCTCTCTAAATTCAGTGAAATGCAACGACCCAAACATCCACCACGCTGGCGGTGATGTACATATAAGCGAGGTTAGTCGAGCGGCAATGCAACTTTCATTGTTGCCTTGTTAAGTCGCACCTTACCGGCCGGTACGGAGTCTCTTGCAAGAACACCGCTCAACACACACACACACACCACCACCATTGAGATGCACAACCACACATGGAATCTACAAGAACAGGACTGGCTCCTCACGGCTTCGACTCACTAGCAAATAACTTCCACAGGCATTCATCCGAAATTCAAGCACCTGGTAAACGCACCTGACAATCAATGGCACGGGTGACATCACATGAATGTGGTCCATGCGTCAAATGCAACTCCTGCTACAAAACCTCTTCGACCTTTTTGCAACTTACATAGGCATCCTGAGTGGCATACCGCGTGTTTGTTCTATCATTCTACCCCCTCCAACAAACGTACCTATCACTGTAAAAGGACTGTTCCAGATCACGGAAGTGGGGTGCCAGCCAGCCTCGATCCCAACACACAGCTGGTCCTGCACCGTCGTCAAGAAATCGAAATTAAGTGAGTGAGATTCTGGTAGAAACGACAACTCCGAATTGAAAGCTTGGATGAAAGCTCTCGTTCACTGCCCTCGGCTCGACAATCCGGGCCTTGATATCTTGCAGTCTCTTGCCAGACCTGAGGGGCTGCCATGTCAAGATTTGGTTCAAGTGTGGTACATGAACTCGCTTGCAACATCTTGTAGTACGGCTTGGCAAGCGACATGACATGAAAAACGTCATGGGCATGGCAAACATTCGACCTGCTGTCATTATGACATATGGAAAAGCCTCGTGGATGGTGCTGAACATACTTATATGCAAGCATACATGCATATCTATCTACTTACTCTATCTCCATACTATTTATGTATCGATCCATCTATCGATCTTTCTATAGATACTGTCATGTCTATATATGTACTGCAAACGGGTATGTATGTATGTATGTATGTATGGATGTATGTATGTATGTACTGTATGCATGTATGTATGTATGTATGTATGTATGTATGTATGTATGTAGCTGTGCACATACACACAAACAAGCATAAAAGCGAATATATGTATATATATATATATTAATATTATATATATGCCATATATAGATGCCTATATGCATATGCATATACATATTATATATATATATATGTGTGTGTGTGTGTATGTGCATGTGCACGTGTGTGTATCTGTATATGTGTATTGGCACATACATACATGTATACATACGCGCGCATGTAAATACATATATATATACCAGTTTATTAGATCTTCACCGCTCGAGAACTCACTGGACAGCCAACGATCGGTCGCCCACAGATCAAAACTCGAACATCTCAGATCGTCATCGTTCCGAACGGGTGCTCCGATCACCGGAGGGGCGCATCAGATAGCTGGAGATCGCTCTGCAGTCATCCGAACGAACAGATCAAACGAAACATTCCCTGCGAACTGAAAAGAAAGGGCGAGGATCTAAAAGTCTTTGACCGGATCCGTAGGCGAATCCGAAGCAAGTTCGATCGGCTCTTCAAGAACGGCATCACGCTGAAGGGCAGCGAAAGCTTTCGGCTTGGGCCGCGGAGCACCGAACGGAGGGCTTCGTCTGGGGCTTAGGCCGAGGGGCCGAAGATGTGACAGTGTGCCTGACTTCGACCGCGGCTTTACCAGGCACATGTTTATGCTTGCTTTATTATCTGCTGTGACGAGGTTGTGTCCTCGACGTCGTCGGAAGCACATGTGTGCCCGTTTTTGCTAGCTAGCGCATGAAACAAACGCTTCTGATTCTGTTAAAGTTAAACCACAGAAACCTCCAGTACTCCGCTGGAAAATCGTATCAAGTCGATGGGAAACCATGCTAGACTCTGCTAGACCTGCACCACACTTCCTTGCGAGGACTGTTCACTGCATTTTTTGCCCTTTTTGCGGTCACAGTTCGGCCCTGCATCGTCACTATCTCAGGATCATTCCAGGTTACAGTTTCGAGTTGGACAGACGCATTGCTCAGTGATCACTTGGCTTGGACAGTTTTGGATCGATTTGTCGGCTTGCATGTCGTTTCGGCTACTGAGGGTCTATGAAGAACACTGGGCGGCATAAGGGGCAGGCCGACCTATGATCAGCTGCATGATGTCCATGGCGACCGGAAACTCTATCACCTTGCCCTCCTTTCAGAGCAGATTGGAGACTGCGACGGATGTCATGGCACAGATGCAAGACAAATAGAGTGTCAAACTCCTCCCGCGAAGCGCCCTCCAGACATGACAGGCGCTTTTCCTCAGCCAGCTTCAATCCGCATCGAACATTTCCAGAGGGACTGGATACCAAGACTGACCGCAAGACAGGTCTGTTCTGGTGTGTGCTTCTCTGCTTCCAAATTACCCGCTTCCCATGCTCCGTGCTTGGGTTTTCGTAGATGGCTTCATCAGTTGAGGGCGGTGCGCAGGATAGTTTCCTTTAACTGTGCGATCACACGAGCGTTTCTGGCTTTGACTCCACTTTGCAGAAATGCAGAAAAGGCACCAAGTCCGCTTGCTGCGCCCGGCACTTGACGATTTCCGCTTGGTTCCAGAAGTGCACGGTATGCAACAGCTTGCTCGCCCGGGTGGTAGCGCTCCTGGCGGTACAGACTTCACCGCGGCAGTCCCAGCAGCCCTGCCGGTCGTCTGTCCTCTCACCGACGAGCTTCAGCTGACGACGACCCGACTCACCGCGCCGTACGCCGAGGCCCAGGAGGTTACACTCCCGCTGCAAAGTCATCAGCCATTCCTGGCAGCCATCTCACAATTCCGTGTTTTCGAAATGCGTTGTAACACACTAACTCAGTCACTACGCAGATGAGGAGAAGCTGTGCGGCCCGCCTGCTTCAGCCCCTCGGTCTCGGTGTCGGGGTGTGCTTCTTCAGTTTCTGCGGCGTTGCCGCACTTTGACAGGCTGCGTATGCAACACATGCTGCTTTTCCGGGACTAGTCGAGCGTTGAAGTGAAACACAAAGCTCGTGTATGCATCTGCGACCGCCACTTTACTGCACCGCGATGTCTCTGCACTCAAGACAAAAGACACGCCTTCGGGGCAGTCGAGTACAACCTCTTCAAGAGCCATGGAGCTGAGCGCCTGAAGTGTCACAGTGACACATGTGACGCCATACCGATCTCTACTTGTAGCAACCGTTGTCTGCACCCGTTTTGTCGGGCCTCAGTCCGACCGGGAGCGCGGAGCTGATCAGGGAGCACCAAGAGGTCCTGTGATTCGCTTTGCCCACTTTGCAACAAGAGAATGCAGAGAGACAGAAAGTTGTCGTCCATGTCGTCCGCAGAGATTGTTTAACTGCGTACACAATATATGCGACTGAATGCTGGAGGGGCCTGAGATGAAGACATACCCGTGCAAGCTAGGTGATGTACTCTCCAAGCCAAGGACTATGATTAAGATAGTGAGGACATCATCTTCAGGCGATATCAAGCCATCAGCATTCGTTCTGGTGTCTCCATTACTCACGCATTGTGATCCACTCGGTTGAAGTTACGGTCGCTTTATGCTAGGATGTCGTGGCCTTTCAGCTTCTCCATTCATTGAATGGATGGCCTCAAATCTGTTGACAAAGATTCTCTAATCACAACCAGGAATAAGCATGCTGCGCTATGTCTTGCAAAGCATGCAAAACCTGATAGATTGTTGCGAGTGTCCTGACGATCAAGCAATCGGTGCGATGATGTCGATTTGCACGAGTTTTGTACGTCGCAAACAGTAACAGCAAGGAGGACAGCGCAGGCTACAGCAGTGCCCTTGTAAAATTGCAGGTCAGAGGACTTAGACCGGAGACAGGCGCCGTGCTTGCTACATGCGGGCATGCGCACCGCTAGGGAGTAGGACTAGCACGCATCTTCAGAAACTCAAACAAGCCCTACGAGTACATGCAACGTACTTTTGCCCTTCCCCTCTCTCGGATGCAAAGATAAGCAAGAGCCGGCCTCTTGGCGTCCCCTGCCCTCCAGCGAAACGAGAAAATATGGACCGCAAATCGATCGCACAGTGGCAGAGATGTATGATGCGGGTTTGGAGGGCGACGCCCGCATCTTGACCTGTGCACGCTCTGTTCGTTCCAGCATCCTGCATCCCTGCTCAAGCTGTGCACCTCCAAACGATCATTCACTTTCGCAGAGAGGGGCTGGTCTTCCTTCGTGTCGCCGAGCTTCGGCTTGCAAGCGACCCTCACCTTTGCCACACAAGCTTGTCGGGACATGACAGAAGCAGCGAACAGGGTTGCTTCGTGCTTTTTGTTTACGCATTCTTGCCCAAGTTCCCAGAAAAGCTCTGTTCTGAACCAGCCTGAGCCGTGCACAAACCTGAATCGAACAGATACTGCCCCATACTATCCTCAATAAGCAGGACCCCTACGTACTCTGTGCACAAGCCTGGGGTGAAGCAGCAATGTCAAGCCTTGCTTCAAGCTCCCCCTACAGCCCGCAGATTCTACGAGCAAGACGCAAAACGCCTCTCTGCCTCTCTGCAATGCAAGACCCTGTACATGTTGATGTCCCTCCACAACTCCCTGGCCTGCGGTGTCCTCACCTCGATAACACGATCCTGCCACTGCCTGTGCGGAGTGAGAACACGTGGGTCATCACGGGCATTCCGCCTTTCCTCCGCAAGCTGCTCCGATCCATCACTAGGCTCCGCACACATTCACGCATCCTTTGGACGCCAGGCCGCGGAATTCGGTGATGAACCACTTCTCGGCTGAGTCGAAGAGGGCTATCTCCACCGAGGCTCCAATGAAGTCGAAGGACTGGCTCGCGGCTGTCAGTCGCTGTTCCATGTATGTGCCGTGAAACACATCGCGAAAGGCAACAGCAAGTAAATGCAAGTAATCATGCATCCGCGGAGGCATCCTGGACATCTCTGTCTGCTGGAGGCTTACCCATCTTCAGGAAGCATGGCTTCGGTTAGCTCTCATGTCAAATTGCGCCGACATTGTCGGTTTACAATGGTAACTGCTAGGGCTGCTAGGGCACAGGCAAGTTTACGCTGCTTCATGATTGCCTCGGCTGCTTCTGCTGCATGACATCACTCGGCCATGTTGAGGAGGCCCGATTCTTCGGAGCGCTTGCAATGTGATGCTTTTGGTTGCAAACAAAAATTGCATTGTTCTGCGCGTGTCTGCATCATGAGCAGCTGGTGCACTGGTGCTGCAAGATGTCAGAAGATGCATGGCGTCATGGAGGAGCGTGCCAGGCAAAAGTTTTCACTAGTGAAGCATGGAGACAACGTCGATTGTGACGACATCGCCGCCCGAGTTTGCCGAATGCACCCGACAAAAGAGATCGCTGAAGGGATAGTGTCAAGGCTGTGTAGTCTATCGGTGATCTGCAAAAAGCAACTTTCAGCAACATACGGGCATTGTCTCTGCCATCACCTTTGGCGACTTCAGCTGTGAGACATAACGGACAAGATTCACAGAAACTTGCTGACATTTAAGAGCCGACAAGCCTTGCTTGGAAGGAACACCGAGCTCGCCAGGCATCAGCGGCGCAGTTGCGGCGCCAGCTGTCAGCTCTTCCATGCATCCTTCCATGCATCTTCTTTGAGCGCAGCTGGTGGGGCATGCAGCGAGTCTCACACGTGTGTCAGACATCTTTGCCCTGTGTTCAGCTCGATGACCGCTGAGAGAGCCTCGTCCGGCAGTCTAAAGGCATGACAACTCCTGAGATCTCCTGAAATCCTGTTGACATATCTCGGCAGGGCTGGCAACTTAAATGACGAACGGCAACGAACGCCTTGACAGCGAGATTGCCACACATCCTGCTTTCGGACACATGATGACGCATGAACCAAGCATCCAGCTTTCTCAAAGCGGAAGCATGTTTTTACGTCAGTGCGCTGTGCAGATGGAGAACAACGATAGGATGATGAAAAGCGTCGCGACGAGAGCATGGTGTCAAACAGGGCTTCCCTACGAGAAGCCTCGGTGGGTTGGCATTGCTCTGGATATTGCCTTGTCGTGGTTCGGACCCATGGTCTGCGGTCAGATGTGCCATGCAGAACCCATCCTGAAGATAATTCACGAGGTCATGTTGAAAAACAGGCTACACACACTAGAACGGCATGCGCAGTGTGCAGGATCACAGTGGACCAGAACACACACATCGTCTGCACACAGTAGCGAGCTTGAAGTTCTTGCAACACGAGACGATCTGAAACTTGATGATCTTGACAGCAAGCGTGTGGAACCCACACACACACACAAACAAACACACACAATTGGACACCTTCTTGTTGGACATGGCCTCGCTGACTGTCTGCAGCGTGTCCGTGGTCGATCCATCGGAGTTTCTCATGAGCAATGCACCTGCCTGCCACATTCACTCTTGAAGCAAAGGTGTGCCTGTGCATTGCGGGCCTCCAGGTCTGAAGTTCGATAAGATTCACAGGCCCTGAACTGAGCAAGCCAGAACTTCTAGCGAAATCTTGTGCCGGGGCTATCCCAGCAGCGCAGCTCTGCGGCACAAACGTCCTTTGCAGGCAGACTATATGGTCACTATATATGGCAGAGTGCCCGTGTTTCAGACACCATGGATGGACAAACAGTCAGTCACGAGTGTAAAGTCTCTGGCCTTCAGCGAAATGAAGTTAGCAACTGCTTTCTCCTCCGTGACAGGATGCAGGAATTTGCCCCGGCACAATTAGGGTCACAGTTTCACAGTGAAAAACGACGAGTACAACTGGGCCTTCCGAGGCCGTGTTACAGCGAGGCTCTCTTGGCATCTCTCGATTAAGAGCCCGACCACGGTTTCAGATGTGCCATAGTCCAGCTCGAACGATGCATGTGCACCTCACGCTAGATTGGAGAGCACGACTGCGCAGACAGAATGGACCTGACCTCATTGATTGTCGGTTGTAGAAGAAACACGGCAATGGTCACAACGTCAAATAATATTGCGCACAAGTCCAAACAGAGCTCCTCATTGCCATGGAGATGCAGTCTAAGGCTGAGCTTTGCTATTGCTTGGAAGAGCCAGGCCTGAATCCAGCACCATCTGCTTCTTCTGCACGAAGTCGATCTTGTCCATGTTCACAAGTTCGAGTTGAACAGCTGGCCGAAGGCGAGACGAGGCTCATGTTGACAAGTTGAAGACATGATGGCCAAATCTCCGGATTCGTGTCAGAAAGGCTCTGTGCGAAATCCTAGTAGCTCAATGCTGATCTGAGACGCAGGCCGCTAAAGCCAATGCCCGTTTGACACTCGGCACTTGCCTTCACAGTTTAGAATCTTGGCGAGTGCAGCGTTGGACAGTCCGCACAGCTGGGGGTACTATGCGTTGAAAAGGGTGCCTTCACCGTGAAGTGTAGAGTCTTGTCGCAGCAGATGTAGTCACTCAGCCACTCCTGTCGTGTACTCGTACTAGTGGTGGTAGTAGTAGTAGTAGTTGTTGTTGTAGTTGTTGTAGTTGTAGTAGTAGTAGTAGTAGTGGTGGTAGCAGTAGAAGTAGAAGTAGAAGTGGTGGTAGTAGTAGTTTCAGTAGCAGCAGCGCCAGCAGCTTCAGCGCTAGGAGGTGGAGGAGGAGCAGGAGGAGGAGGACGAAGAGGAGGACATGGTGGTGATAGTGGCCGCATGCAAAGTAGTCAGCACACGTGACAATGTTAATTACCCTGCTGAATTTCAGTTCAAGGCTGCATCATAAGAAACATCAACAACGTGAAAATCAAAAGCAACGGTCTCACAACAGAACAATAAGTGAAGCCGCTGCATTTCTATGCCTCTATGCCCAGACGAGTTGAAGTTTCGGATGAGCTTAGGCCTTCAGGGCATCAGGGCAAAGCCGGGGATTCGGTGATCGACCTGTCGGGATCGGGTCGTGATCCCTGCCCCCAAACTCCCCCCGACCCAAGCGTGTCTTTAGCCTAGCGGCCACCATGAAGTCGCACACGCGCATGGTCCAGCATCCCAGGTTGTTGTCGTGTGCTCCCCGGCTGAGAAAGACATCCACAACCAGGCGCATGATCCTAAGACCAGGAGCAAGATTCCAGAACCAAAAGTCGCGAGCACCACATGAGTAAGCATGCATATCCACAAACGTAATATGTCATGTACTAGTACTACTACTACTACTACGACGACGACGACTACTACTGCTACTACTACTACTACTACTACTAATACTAATTGACTAACGACCACGACCACGACCACCACCCCCCACTCCCCCTACCACCGACGACTCACGTCAACGACAACGACGACGACGACCACTGCTACTGTTATGATTCCTCCCTCCTCCTGCTGCTGCTGTTGCTGCTGCCGCTGTCCTTTGCTGTTGTGGTCGTGCTAAAAGGAAGCCCTAAACCCTAACATCACAAAGTAAACCCAGGCGCCCATGCTCGTCTTGGCCGTCGATAGCGCCACCCAGGTAGTTGGTGAGGAACTTCTTGAGGGGCTCGATTGCTGCAGAGCAGTCACCAACTTGGCCTTGAGTGGAATTGCAATAGCCCGCGAAAACACATATTAACACAAATAGCGGCGAGTACCAGCATTGAATAATGTTCAAGATGTCCACAGTCACACCAGCAGTCATAAGAATGAGGATCATAACCTCTTCCCGTTCCCCTATGTTCTCATCGTTGCCGTTGCGCTCTTATTGTTCCTCAACCTGACTGTCAATTGCCCTTATCCTGAAGCCTGCGCCGGCTTGTGATTTTAGGGTTCGAGCGTATCAGCTCTTCTGATGCAACTACACCCACGGATTCCATTTCAAGAAGATCAGCTGCATTAACTGCTGTTGTGTTAATGTGGTGCCTATACTGCCGGTATGTTCCCAAGAACATCTCGTCTAAGCCGCTCCATAAAATAAGCTTATGCTGCATCTTATCAATCTAAGGCTGATCGCTTTAGTTCAGGGTTCCCTTTCCACTGGATGACCATGTGGACTCGGAAGGATTAGCTTGCGGTTTAGGTGGAAAGCTGCCGCAGAGCTCCAGCCTAACGCGTTGTGATGGCAACTCTGTTTCACTGTCTACGAGTAGTGGTACCTGTTGTACTTCCAACACATTACATACAGCAACGGCAAACAAAGTGACAACAAGCATAACACTAGCAGGAACACCAAGCATCATCGCCAGCACCACACGATGATCACGACCATCCTCTCAACGAACAACTACAACGAGAGCAACTGGAGCGCAGCCCGGTGGCAGAAGCGAATCTGCTGATTCGCAGGCACCTTCTTCATCCAAGGTTTTAGATCGAGGGATCAAGGTTTACATTTAAGTTTACCTTAGGTCCATGAATTCGTTTGGCGATTCCCGGTTCCAAAAAATTGCACCCAAACCGTGCGCCTAAACCCTTCCGAGTCATTCACAGCGAGCAGTGAACCCCAAAGCCCGCTGAAGCCCTGTACCAAAACTCTAAACCTTAGTGGGTGGATGGGTTGGGGACCTACTAGCTTTCCTCCACGGGTCGGCTTGCAATGAAAGGCAAAAGCAAGAGTATTGAGAAACTGTAGCCAGCCAAGTTGAGGGAGCATGACGAGTGTTTGAGAAGTAGGACTACAGAGACGAAAAGTAGCAGCAAGACAAACACCAACAAAACCACCTGTTGTGAACCATAGTAAAAAACCATCGAGACCATAATGAATATAGTCATTGCCAAGAATATAGGCGAATAAGAATCATGACAATGACCAGAGACAAACTCAGAATCATAGCAACCGAAACAATCTTCTAACAAACAACTCTACAAACCCTAAAACCCAAACCCCTAAACCCCAAAATACCACATGCCCTGACAACCCTGCAAGACTCAAGTCTTTAAAAGCCCTAGATTCTTTCCCGAAACAAACCCCCACAGCTCCAAACACTAAAGCCTAAAGCCTCATCCCTAAACCCTAAACCCTAAATCCCAAATCCTAATCCATCTAATCCCTAAACCCTAAACTGCCTGTGTCACGTCTGGCTGAGCATAGAGCTCCTCCGAGCCTTCCCAGTGCCCCAGCTACAGTTTAGGTTTTGAGGTTGAGGGCTCTAGGACGATTTGGGGGGTTTCCGAAAATAGGGGACTGTAGTATAGTACCCTAAATAGTCTTATCCTTATTATAAGGACCCCCAAAACAAGGTACCCTAATTTTCGGAAACTCCCAGTTACGGGGTCTACAAGGAGCCTAGGGATGAGAGTGCTGTCAGTCTTGGTTGTGTAAGGAGCGGGTGTAGGGCTGAGGGTTTAGGAAGGGTCCAGTGCAAGGTTTAGGGAATGCCGCGACCTCATGTTCTTGCTGCGGTCGGTTGCCCAGACTCTCAAGGACTCCAAGACGACTGCACTGCCCCAAGTCCAGGAGTCTTTGACCATAAGCCCGGAAGTTCAAAACGGGCTTCCCTGGCCTCTACACTGAAAAAGAGCCCTCAAAGGCCCTAAACCCTAAACCCTAAACCCCAAAACCCTAAACCCTAAACCCCTAAACCTTCAACCACACACGGCCCCGAAGTTCGCCTTCCCCGGTGTAGAGCTCCAAGAACAGGTGAGGCTCCACGGCACCCTCCCGCGAGGATCCTCTGTGAACTGCTACTTTCAGAGGGCTGCTGAGCGTAGTACAACATGGCTTACGATACAATACCGGGCGACTAGAAGGGTTGCTGTGGGTTGGCTGTACTGTAAGGGTTCGTGTATGGATCATGCTTTTGACAAAAGCACAAATTGTGCTACTCTACGTGTCACTGTAGGGCTATTGCAGGGACGGGGGTAGCATAGGGGGTCTTAGACCGGTTGCGAGGAGACGGGTTGCTGTCGGACAGTTACGGTCTAGCTTGATTTAGGACTGGTTCTCTAAAGTTAGGGCCCCGTTTGGTGTCCTTCGTGCAAGAGTGACGTGTTCTCCCGGGCATAGAAACCAAGCATCCTGGCTTGAGCACCCTCCAGAAAAAGGCCGCAAACTCAGGCCGAGAGTCGGTCCGTGCAGTTTAAGGATCTTCTGGGGAACAGGAAGAAACAGTACCGACTATTCAGGCCCCTCTATGTCGTTTTGATGCCTATGAAGACGGGTGCTCCAAGTAGTGCGCGCAATTAACCCTGAACCTGAAACCCTGAAACGCTAGAAATCCATGGTAGCCCTTGCACATTACGACCACAGGGAACCCTAAAAGGATACGATATTCAGCCCTATATTGCATAAACCGACCCGTCCTGGTCGGAACAGAATCTGCTGCTCTCGACTTTCTGACTTTCCCCGCTTGGTCACAACGGTTCCCTGAGAGCAGACCTGGCGGCTGTAAGGCTCATAGGGGATTTTAGGGGGTTACTTTGCAGGGTTTTTCAGGGGTTCGGGCTCTTTAGAGGCTTTTTCGGGATTTGGGTGTTTTGATGCGCCTTCGGGTTGGCGGGGTTCAGGTATTTCGGAGTGAAGTTTAGGACTGAGGATTTAAGGCTTCTCGGGGCAGCGGATTTTCAAGTCCTTGTTGGTTCACCCTGAGATTTCGCAAACGCAGATGCGGGCCGCTTCATCGAATGATGCTGGTGATATGCAGAAAAAAGGACGATGAAAAGCACGAGTGCGTTGCCAACACAAGAACTAACGGCCACACCAGAGGAATGGTAACAGACTTGAAGACGAGGCGGAAAAGAGAGGCGACCCAAACACAGATAAAACTCTTGATATCCGTAACTATAGCAGAGTAACAAGAATAAGAGTAATGATAACCAATGAGTCGCAATTGCAGTAAACAGGTTACTGTCATAACAACCCATAATCATAGTACAGCGAGCAACAAGCTTCTAAGGCCGACCCCTCACCCCCTACAGAAGTCTTTACTATATGGGTTCAAAAAAAGGGCCTTGAAGCTTGACAAAGTATACAGACCTGTAAAACGTCGTAAAATCTTTCAGCACCCAATAATACCATATTAAGGACCTATCTTGGTGGGCCTGCATCTGCCAGCCCAAGCCATGAAAGAAGCTCGTGAGGTCCGCGGAAGCCCACATCATGTCCTCGCGACTCGCTTGAGGCATGTTTAGGGCTAAGGGTTGAGGGTTGTTGGTTGAAGGTTGAGTGGTCAGGGCTTCGGGTTGAGCGTGTAGGGTTTGCGGTCTCGGGCATGTGGAATATAGACAGTACACCCTAGATCCACATTTGGAAATCTTCAAAGCACCTGGTGCTTGTGTCGAAGGTGAGTGATGCAGCCAGGAGCATCATCTTGGGCCTCAAATCCAATGAAGCCGGCACCTGATCTTCGCGAAGGCCGTATCGCGTCCGATTCGTTTCATCCAAGCCTTCATGTGATGATAGATGATGCAATGGATCTTGGACCGTGCTGGTGACAAGCTGGAGCAGTGCCAGCTCAGTCTCCATGTTGGTGATTGCACGCAGATACCGACTTTCCGGGGCTGGCGCCATGAACCGCTCTTCACCTCTGCATACCCTTTCTGTAAGCTTGCTTCCAAGTTCTACATGATCTACCTTACTGTGCATTGCATGTGGCTCAAAGGTATAAACAACAAGTGCATACATACGATGACGACAGACGACACACGCACACAAAAGAAGCTATCTGCTCCAAACACATGGTGTCTAAGCGTCAAGAAGAAGACAAACCCATATTTCAACGCGCCTGTCTCTTTGTCAGAACCAGGCTCTAAGCCCCTAGTGCAGATTTTTCTATCGGCGGCAACAAATATCCCTGAACCCTAAACCCCTAGGCTCTAAAGGCCTAGAGGACTCGAAGCTCAACTTCCTCACATTAGTAGATGTGGGTGAAGGACTCCAAAGGGGTTCAAGCGGGGTTTCAATAAGGCTTTTCTGTCGTGCTTTACTGGGTTATGAAATATGAACTTCATAAGGCTTCAATAGTTTTTGTATTCGTTTCACAGGGTCTTGGCAGGTCTTGAACGGGTTTTCTGTAAGGTTCTGGTGTGAGGTCTCCGGGCTTTCCAGGACTTCAGGAGCTCAAGGTGAGGGAAGGGTTTAAGGCTTAGGGATTCTTGTTTGACACCTTTTTCCGACTGCATGTTTAGGGTTTAGGGTTTCGGAGAAGGCAAAGGTTGGGAAGTACAGGCAAATCTAGTGTAAGCGTTCCTGCAATGGTTCATGCCATTGCCCCCTTGCAGTCATAATCCCTAAGGAAGCAGATTATCATATGCCGTCATATACCCCAGCATCCTAAGCCCGGGTCTAGTGTTCAGGCCCCTATGAGGTGCGTTTTTGGTATCGGGGCCAGGACCCTCAACATTACTTAAGGGATGGGGGCAGTAAGGTGGGTTATAAATACATAAGTCAGTGGAGGATACAACTCGAGTTACCTCAACTAAGGCCGTGCTTGAGTTGCGGAAAATCAGGGGCCGAACGAAAGGCCTTCGAAAGTAGGGTCCTCATTGCGGGGAACCTCATCAGAAAAACCCTCCTCTGAAAACCTCCCATCTAAAACGATTCCAAAAACCCTCCAAAGCATTCAAAAAAACCGTATAAAGCATCTTAAAGAGATCTTTCAACACCCTTAAAAACTCGGCTGCCCTTCGGTATCGGAGCTTTGGGGGCTCTCTCCTTCGCAGACCAAGCAAGCTTCACGTCGCAGAAGGGCTCCTGACACCACTTTCTTGCGGCGAGGTCTACGTAAGAACTCCACTCTCTTCATTCACAGGGATGTGCTCTTTTTTTCCAGGCTTTGACAGGTTTTGGGAGTCTGGGGATTTTAGGGTCAGTGTTGAGGAGTTTTGGGTTCAGCGCTTGGGGTCCAAGGGGTTCAGGGTTGGGCCGGGTTGGGGTTCAGAGTTAGCGCTCTCCACCTCAATCTGCTATGCAGGGCCTCCCATACATCCGAGGTATTTTCGGATGCAAGGATTCAGTATGTGAAACCTGTACGAAGTGCTCAAGCTGCCGAACCAACCGAAGCTTCAACTCCCCACCCCGGAGACCTGAAGCTTAAACCCAAAGCCCATAAGCCGAAACCTGGCCCGGGATCTTGACCGAATCCTTGCAACGCCACTTCTCCTGTGGTGACAGCTTCAACTCGAGCTTTCTACTTCTCATCGGGTCAGGTGCTGCTGTGAGTTAGCAGCCAGTATGATGTGATGGCCACTGTCTACTTGACATCGTGGTTGATGTCGCTGTTACTGTTGCTGTTGCCGTTGTTGCACTTGTTGCTGCTGCTGCTGTTGTTGTTGTGGTCGTCGTCGATGCTGTTGTTGCCGTTGCCATTGCTGCGGCTTCCTCTGCGGCCGCAGCTGCCGCCATTGATGTTGTTGTTGCTCTTGCTAATGCTATTAGGAATATTGTCACAGGTTTGTCATGACCACCATTGCTAAGCGAGTGCTGCCAGAATTCGCCAAATTGCTACTACCGCTATTTCTCTTCTTGTTCGCTACCACGCTGTCCTCATCGGGTTTCAATGGATTTTACGTGTGGCTCTGACAATCTGGGTGCCGGCTACTACAAGTCTATACAAACAGTTTTGATATGCTAACAACCCATCAGTGGTCCCGTCACACTGAACACGTACCAGAAACTCCTAGACCACAAACCAAAAAGCTGAGAACGACGTGTTTCTCTCGGTAAGGGCTTAGGTTTTCGGAGCTTCTGAAACTCGCATGCACTTTGCAAACTGAGGCTTTAGGTTCAGGTCCACATCTACAGAAAAGCTACACCCCTTAAACAACCGCTGCGCCTTCAAGTACTTCGTGAGCTTCCCATGGACGCCATCAACATCTTGTCCGCAGATCTGACGCACATTGGCATGCATAAACGATAAAATGCTTCGTTGGTGAAGAATCGAACAAGTGGCTTCCTTCGGCAATGCGTTCGATGCGATTCAAGTTAAAGCACTTTGGGACCGTTTTTGAACTTGCGCATTATGCAGTTTAGCTTCGACAAGAAAGGGAGTTGCCTTGGTCACCAGGCTACGCCGGCGAAGCCTAAACCCTAAACCCTGAAACCCCAAGGCTTGAAACTCACAAAATCCTCGGTTCTCAGGTTGTCGATCCCAAATCCCAGGTCCTGACCCTTGAACCCCGGATCTCCCTAGAAACCCTAAACCCTAAACCCTAAACCCCCAAACCACAAACCCTAAACCCCGAACCCCGAACCTTGCCTCGATGTAACCAATTTCTCTCAGCTCAACCAAAAGGTGCGGGGCTTCGCGCAGAGGGTGGTTGTCCCACCGGAAGACCATCCTTACTTGAGGTTCAGGGGACTGAGTAAGTAGGGTTAGAAGTATCTGCATTAGGGTTACAAGCAGATAGGTCTATAGTTAGCGTACTCAAAACCCTACTTACGAAGTCCCCTGAACCTCCAAGTAGACCAAAAGGCATCTTGTGTTTCTTGTTTAATACAGGGGTCTTAAGACTTGCATGAGGCTTTTGGCATATGTTATACTCCCGGTAAGGGTGAGATTTCAGTAAGGAGCCGCAAGGAGCAGAAGGCAGTCTATACTAGTTGCTCAGGCCCCTAAATTACTCTTCTCTGGGCCTTGTCGTAAGCTTTTGGGACTCCGCTCGGGCCGTAATGCATGTTTCTGCATTGGACCCTCAACGGCAAAACACTTTACATGCCCTCTGACAGAATCCAGCCCTGGATGTGCAATGCAGGTGCTGTTGCTCTCGGTGCGAGCCATCGTCGCCGTAGTTGCCTGACGTAGTGCAGATAGGTTGTTTCGTTGTTGGAGTTGAACCATGCTCAGTCTCGCTACCTGATGGTCGCCATGGTCGCCGGAAGTAGTGCGAACTGTTTCGTTCAACCATGCTCATTCTGGCTCCGATACTATGAAAGACACTACAATCATAGAAACCTGGCATGGGACGAGGGCTTTAGGGGTTCTCCTGCACAGGATCATGCTACAGAGGCCCATAACGTCCCATCTCCTGCCGTTGCCCGCCTCCGTTGATGGTGACGAGGCTGAAGCCGGGAAGTATGGTCACAGCAGAATCGCACACTTCGCCTGGGATGTTGCTGGGCTTTGGGGTCACTGTTCCACAATCATAAACCTAAAGGACCGCAGTAGCGACTTCGATGGAGCGTGACTTTACAACGATTCGAGCCCCTCAAACCCACCTGTGGTGCGGCTTAGATTCACAGCACCGCAGTGCGAGGCACTCCCGGATATCGAAGCCCAAGACCTAAAACCTAAACCCCTGAGCCATGAATATCACAGCCCGAAGCCAAGCAGGCCCAGTGGCTGGTGAGCTGGCCGATGTTGTTCTCACCACTTCTCCCCCGCTCCTTGAACATGCCGCTGCCAACCTTGAGGCAAATGTCGCAAAACTCATCATGTCCTCCAGGGTTTAGGGCTTAGCGCAAAGAGTTTAGGGTTGGGGTCCAGCACCCGCATGCCCCAAGGCTCAAGGTCACAGCTTTGCTTTTGTTGGTTCTTTTTCGTCTGCAGAAGCATACACAACCCCTAGGTCAGCACACACACACACACACACACTTGTCTGCTAATTCAGGAATCGGGCTAGGCTTCGTGTGTTGTTCGGGGTCCAGCAATGAAGTGGGTTGAATTCGAAGCCTAACTCGAACGTACCGGCTCGGAAAACCGACTCGAATATTTAGGGTTCATGTAGGGCTTAGAGCTTACACTAGGGCGCCGGGTTTAAGTATCTAAGTCCTTACTGTTCAAGGTCTAGCATGAAAGACTACAGAACCTCAAATCTCATAAACTGTCATCGACCTCCCCTTCACAACCCTACAACACGACCCTAAACCCTAAACCCTAAACCCTACAACACCATATAAGAGGGTTTTGGGATGTGTATTATAGCATACTTCCATCAGCAATTATAATAAGGGAATGATACCACTAATTCTTCAGGCGTCCCTTTTAAGTCGGAATCTCCCACTCGAAGAAAGGCACTGGTGTTGTCGGTCAGTGGCCTGTACACCCCGGAGCCCTAAATCCCAAGCCCTACAAAGCTAAATCCTACACCCCAAAAAAATCCTGAACCCTACATGCCAGAGCCCTCAATCTTCAACCGCCAATCCTTCTTCGACCTCCGCCCTAAACCCTAAACCCTGGCCCTGAACCCTCGATCCTTCTTCGACCTCCGCCCTAAACCCTAAACCCTGGCCCTGAACCCTCGATCCTTCTTCGACCTCCGCTCCATACTGGCTCTCGAAATGCTCCCGGAGCGTCGTGAGCGTGCCCGCCTCGCTGCCGCAGAGCTCGACATAGCCTCAAGGCCATGAGCACATCTGACTCTACACCTCAATCCGTAAGCCTTGATATCCCTGAACCCTAAACCCTAAGCCAGACACCCTAAACCCTAAACCCCTTGTGCAGCCCCAGGGGGTTGATTCTCTACGATCTCGACTCGACACCCCGAGCCGACCTGGTGCAAAAGAGACGTGAATGGCTCAGGGTCTCCGATGCCCAGATTCGTCCCTCCAGAGACCCCAAAACCCCGAAAAAATACCCTGCTTTTCATCTTTCAGGGATCCCTTCACAGTTTCAGGTACCTTCCATATAACCGCCTATAACCAAAAACCTCCTTCAAACTCATAAACAAACTCCTGACTTACGGGAGTTAGGGAGTCTCGGGGCTGCCTGCTCAGTGCCCCAGGGATCACAAAAGTTTAGGGTTTAGGGTTTTAG